TGTGTTGTGACTGTATTAGGGACTGTGTTGTGACTGTATTAGGGACTGTGTTGTGACTGTATTAGGGACTGTGTTGTGACTGCATTAGGGACTGTGTTGTGACTGTATTAGGGACTGTGTTAGACTGTATTAGGGACTGTGTTTTGACTTGTGACTGAGCATCTCAACCATGAATGCACCACACAGCTCTACACAACGACGCACTGAGGCGTGTCAGGCGCAATGCTCAACTTAATTTCTTTCATTAGCATTCATTAAGTTTAATACATCGTCTAATTCATTTGTAATTTTAACCAAGCCTGCTTGACTGAGATCTGGTAGTTTAAGATATTTCATGTACGTTCACACTTCGAATTTATTCGTTACGTAATACTGTAGCGTGAGTTCTCGCAACACTTGAGATACGAAGATTTTCATTAATGTCATCACTAATAATTATCAAGTAACAATAAGTAGGAAATCAAGCTAACAGTTACGCATAAATCTGTTTTGATAGGGTGACAATTGCGACCTTTCCATGAGAATAATTTGATTGGATCTTCAGCGAAACTGCCGAACAATGAAACAAAAAAATTACTATCCTCGGTAGGAAATAATTGATATTCAAATTACCGCTTTTCCCCAGCTTCCCTCCTTGCAGGAAGTGCAAGCTGCGCCATACTTCCCTTGGGGACTTCCGCGTGAGTCCTTCACCTCCTCCCCTCACCCCTGCCACTCATCGCTACTTCCCCTCACCCCTGCCACTCATTGCTACTTCTCCTCACCCCTGCCACTCATTGCTACCTCCCCTTAGTCTTACCCCTGCCATTCATCGCTACTTTCCCTCACCCTTGCCACTCGTCGCTACTTCCCCTCACCCCTACCACTCATCGCTACCATACATTTCCCCTCTAATAAACATTTCTAAATCCGCGCGCCCATACAACATATAGCCTCTTCCACCCTCTTAAAAAAATTAAGACCCCTCGTTTCCACATCCCTCGCGTCAATCATCAACTCGGTTCATCCCCTCATCGGTCCCCCAACGCAACACCCAACCCTTCCCCCATGAACGTGTTCAATACTCAGGTGTGGAATAACAGGTCAACGGCTGGAGCTGTTCAATACGAACACTTGAGCAAACCGAACACTTGTGAGCGCCGAAGTGAAAGTTGAGTGCAATGACTTTTATTCTTACCAACATGAAAGTGAAAGAGAGCTGAGAATTCATTCCCTTATAACTTACGTACGTGCAATCAGAATAAGGCGAAAGAAAAAATTTTCCGTATTGCAAGAAACCGAAATTTCACGGCTATTTTCTCCATATTTTCTCGTGCGACAGCGAGTCATAATCATACAGGGTGGGATAAATTTCACAATTTCATAATTACTGGCACCGAATATGTAGAAACGACATCAGTGGAAGCAAAGGCAATTCACAATAAACGCAAAATGGATTCAGATGATCGGCGGAAGTAATGCATTTGTTTGGTGTTGCCAAGCACTGCAACGCGTTGAGACGATTCCCTGTCGTAAGGTAACAGCGACCTTGAGAGGAAGTCTGCAACAGTCAAGCGACATGGGCCATAAACGGATCCCCATAGCGAGTGAGCCATGGTTCAACCATGGAGTGAGCCACGGTATTACGGAGTAGGATTGCTGTAATTAGCCGATGGATTGAAAGATTATAAATTTCGCATTTGTCCCTTGTAAGATGAACCAAATTAGATTTAAGCATTCCGATTTCATTAGAGATAAAACTAAACAAAATTTCAACAGTCAATGCATTATGGTTTACTAATTCATCTGATCTGATATTGCTTGAGGTTAATCCTCATACATTACAACCTAGAGATTAAAATCATTACGTTAACAAATCATTTTATTTGCCAAGCCAAGACATGACGAACATTTTGTTGTGACAAGCCGTCACAACCAATAGGACGCAAAATGTTCTCCAACACTTCAAATCCACACGAAAAGCTGGTTAGACGCGGTACAAATTGGCAAGTTTAGTAGCAGCTTGCCTTCACCGTCTTAGGTTCTGAAATTTTAAAACGATATTCTCGATAAAAATTTGTTACCCAAATAACCTCAAATACTCAGCCATCAATTAACTTGGGTGAGCGAAAGAAGGCCGGCTGATCTCAAGTTTTTGGTAAATATATAGATTTTTTGATTACCTAGGTCAGACGATGATAACTTAATCTACCTGCGCCTGCAGGCAGATTAAAGAGTTTTTAATGGGGTGCAGCCGTAGGTCACATGTTTAACCCTTAACTAGCCCTGTACCCAACGATCCGACTCCTCATGCAATAACTTTTCTCAGCCACAGAATTGGAAGCCGCTGAATACGCTGGAACACCGTTATCCAGAACAGAGACACACTTCAGAAAAATAATAATGTCGTAGGACCTTTGCCAATGCTTCATCATACCCGCTCAAAAGCAGGCAGTTTTGCATCCGGTTGCACTTACTCTGGCCTAACCTACTCACGCTGTCCCGGCTCACAAACTTCTTGTAACCAATGACTGGCTCTACCAGCACACTTGAACCGCCTTTCTAACATTCTGCAGCCAATGATAATAGGTTAGGTCCACTCAGATTTGTTTCAAGTGGAGAAATTTTGCAGCTTGTTAAGGTTAGGCCAGAAGAGATTAGGCTAGAAGAGGTTTGGCCAGATGCAGTGTGGCCATGATTACCCTTAGCATTCTCAAGTGGTGGCGTTGGACACACGGAGCTATAGTTTTAAGCAATTAACTTCATAGGATGTTATGCCCTCTAGTGTTACCCACGGAAACGAATTTGAAGTGCGAAGTTGTGCCAGCCTGGCCTCCGGCATGAGCCCCGTTTTTATTTATCACAGCAGAAAGTTCCAAGTTATTCAATGAGGCACAACTCGCTGAAGAATAACGAGGAGTGTCCCCACGTTTCCCACATCTTGGAATTTAAAATCGAAAACTCATCATTTCCATCAGCTGAACTATTTTGTGGGCACATTCCTTCAAGATACGTTGAATATTTCAATAATTACTTTTCAAGCATCACGGTGTGTAGGGCAATTCCTTTATTAATGATCAGACACGCTGAATATTGAGTTAAACTGGAACTTAAGCGGAAATATACGGCACTAATGATTACAATAAATTAACCTGGATTATGCTTGCCTGGAGGACTTCGTTAAAGATTTATCTCAGCATCTCAATTTTCTTAGATTTATCGTCCGTCTCAAGATTTACCTCACACTGTATTCCAAGATCTCTCTTCACATTCATCAGAAATTTGTCGGGACGTTTGAACGGATAGACAAGATTGCGATAAGAAGAAAGTCGGTAATTGGAGCGGACAAAACATGACACGCTCAAAATTTATTCACAATTCCTGTACAGGACACTGAAGAATGACAACCCAATAACACGGTAAGATGTTGATGGAACTAAAATTAAGGAACGTTAAACACCATAAGGTCGAAAGAAGCTGGTCACCTATCAGCCAATACAATTCGATCGAAGCAAAGGAAATTAATTTATTAAATAAGCTATGCCGACAACATGCTGCTAATAAGTTCGAGATTATTCAGGAAATAATCGAGATTGAGGCTCGCAACTACTGAACTAATGGCGTCGGCCTAATTGCTAGGGTGCCACATTTTACGCTCAAGTTCAATCAAGAACCCAACCTGCATCAGCTGCAAGTACATCGGCAAAAGTTCATCCCAAGGTATCTCAGAAGTTTATCCTAAGGTATTCTCCGGTACCCCATTTTCAAGTGATGTATGGGATTCAGGAAGAGAAAATAATTTCAGTTTCATAGCTCTGCATCAAAGTTAATGGATTGCAACAATTCCAGTTTCCTGCAATAATTTTCAAGAACATCCCTACATCGCAACATTTCGTGACGTATCTCACCAAAATGCTCGTTAATAATGCCTCAGGACACATGAGCTCCTCACTGTCGGTGACAGTCCAATTTATCATGAATTTAAACAATGACTTGGTACACAGGTACAAATAAAGCAGCATCTTTCACCATCATCGCAGCCCACCAATTAGCTCAATAGATTATTAATGCTTCCATAGAGCTTAGACTAAACAGCATCACTCTCCTCCGCACACAATATGGCTTCTCCCTCGCTGCCTATAGCTGGATGGCTGGGCTCAGGCAATATGGCGAGTGCGGTGTGCCGTGCGAGGCTTGCGAGTTCGTTTCACCGACGCTTGGTGACCTTGTCTAGGTTGTTGTCGTATTCCTTGTCGTTCAGGTTCAGCATGAGCGTGTCGCCGTCCAGGTACACGCGGTTGCTCGAGGTAGAAAGCTGTTGATATAACATCCGCAATTAATTCATCAACTATCGACAACTTATTAGTATTTGTACAACCAAAATGTTTGCAGCGAGCAATCGATCTAAGAAGCTAGTACTAGGAGAGGCAAATTAACACAAAATTTATCCTAAGAAGACTAGCAACAAATAACAGCTCTAATACCCACCGTCTTGCCAATATTGCCAGCAGCTTTAATCTTGCGCAGCTTCAGGTAGCCTGGATTAATGCCGATGGCCTCTCCTAAGTAGATACTTGGTTAAGGAAAAAAATTACATCGTAGAACATTGTTGCTACATAAGATGAAAAACGTCTGCGGGATTTTACGACTCTTTTACAAATGAGTTTATCCCACCATATAAGAAAGCAAAAAAAACTGATAAAAGGAGGTATTCTAAGTGACTCAAGAAAATAAACAGGCAGAATTGAACGTTATTCAGAGAGAAAACTTAAAATATGAAAGAACACATAAATCCAGACATTTCTGTAATGAGGAATAAGAAATGCAGTTTGGCATAGCAAATAAAGGATATCATCTTAGCAGCTTCAGCCTCTCCCTCAGCTTGGACGATTCTCTGCTGGCGCTCCTGCATGGCGCGCTCTACCACGAACGACGCCCGCTGTGCCTCTTGCTGAGCTACCTGCGCACGCAACCAAAGTTAGTGCAACAAACGGTAATGTAACAATGGCATAATGAACCTATCACATTCATTACATTCCTTGGCATCAATAACGTATCACATCTATTAGCATGAAGAAGCTATCATTGCTCATACTATACTTGAACTTTTCACCACCAATACTTGAACTCAGTAGCGCCACACTAACCTGCTTGGACTCGACGGCGCTGGTGTACTCGCGGCCAAAGCTGAGTTCGGTGATGGACACGTCGTCCAGAATGATGTTGAAGTCCTCAGCTCGCTCGTGCAGGTCTCGTCTGATCATCAGTGATACCTGCACGGTACGGGCATGTGAAGTAGAGGACGCGCACACTTTTATTTTACTGATAAGTAAAAGATATAATAATAATAAAGAATGTCAGTTGGAATAAAGTTGCAAGCCCAACAAATATACTTATGCCATTAATTGAGCCCCCCAAAATATAATTTTATATACATTTAATTTGAAGCTACAGAAAATATGATAATTATCCATTTAATATCAAACACGCACAACCCAATGTAGCTTTGTAACAAGCATTCAGCTATAATTTGTGTCACAACTCACAATTAGATTTCAATGCACTCTCAGGGTTGGATGACAAGTGAGCAAAATCATTCAATGAGCAAAAAAAAAGTTGCACAGACACTGGTACGCAAAAAAAAACAATTCCAGGCTACAGAACAAGGTCTAAATAATAAGACCACAAAACAAGGTCTAAATAATGTGAGCACGGAACAAGGTCCAAATAATGAGACCATGGAAGAAGGTCTAAGTAATGAGAAAAAGTGCATTTCATTATCTTTTGTCGTTTTAAAAGGCGTCATAAAGCTTGTTTCAATTCCAACTGCCAGAAATGAACAGAACTTGCCTGCTGTCGCATGGTAATAAGCTGTGCAGCATTGAACTTTGCCACCACCGACTTGAGCACCTCATTGATGATGGAAGGCAGAACCTGGAAACAAAAATTTCATGGTATTGGCTAATGCCCAGCAACACAGAAGTGTGAACAACATAAAAGGGGAGAGGGATGTGGTATGTAGTCTACATTAAATAATACTCTAACTGTAAATGTACATATTCAAGTATCATGCGTTAGTTCCCAATCATATATTGCAAATTCGTTGGCAGACGAAATTAAATATGCATGCTCAGATACTTTAATGCCTGTCTAGTACCTTTTTTTGGTTAAGAACTAGAATTTATGTGAATAAAATTAATTCAATGGCTCTCACCTTCTCATCAAAGTCTTGGCCAAGGTTCTGGTGGATCTCTGGAAGCTTATCGCTGATCGGTCTGGACAAGACACGCAGGGAGATATTCACCATCTGCAGGTCCTTGCTACCTGTGGGAGAGCTGATCTTGCGGGGACGAGCCCTTGGAAACAAAGATGCTGATTGGTGACCATTTTTATGTATACAGATGCATTCATCCAAAAAATAGTTCAAATTTAATTAACTAGATCTAAAACCAACGAAATTCCACAAACATTCATATTTCAACATAGGACTATCAATAAAGGGAATCAGTTTTAATAACTAATTTTAGTAACTTGGGATATATGATAAATAAATAAACTAAAACATAGAATAATTAATCAAAAATTAAAGATTATACATATATAAAGATACAAGTTTTTTTTCCTTGCTGAAAATATTGAGCCTAGGATTATTAAGAAAAACATTAGGAACCAAGAAAACAAATATTCTTAAATGAAAAATTGAAAACACTCTAGGAAAAAATAATAAATTAACCACAGTCAGAAAAAGGTTATTTAGAAAGCTATCTTATATAAATGTTTCAGGGGGCAGTTGTAGTAAAATTACTACTACTGCCTATGAACATGAAACGAGTAAAAACATTTTCAAGCTGAAACATTTTTACAACTACTACATTAATTGTGTGAAAAAGCCATTAGAGGCTAACTACCATTAATACCAGAGGCCATTAATAAAGCACTAATTATGTAATCAAGGAAAAGTATGCCACATATATAAAAGTATGCCATGCATGGCAGGATTTCCAGTAAAATTCCTGCCTTCCTTCAGTAGAAATAAAATAATATTACCATATGTCACAGTGCACAGTAAATTTAATAGGAACTGCAAAAAAGCTTGCAATGTTGGGACCACAACACACAAGAGTTTTTTTTTTTGCCAATTTTTCAGAGGGGGTTTAGAAACAATGGTATTTTCTTAACATGAACACAAAAGGACTACCAGGACCTGATCTGTACATGGATGAATTTCATACAAACATCTCTTTGAGAGTGGTTAAGAGATGAAATTCAGCTAAATTATTCCAAATAAGCATTCTCAGATTACATCAACAGAACTTGACAATATCTTGAATTACCGTGAATGGATGGATAATTTCAGTTCTTAAATGACTGTCTAACCTGATATCATAGATGACTGGATACTGGAACCATGGAATTCTGAAATGAAGGCCTTCAGCATAAATATCCTTCTGCACTCCACCAATCCTGTTGAAAATGATTGCCCGATGACCACCATCAACTGCAAATCATACGAAACAATTAGTTTCAGAGCACAACTTTTCCTTAAATTAAAAAAACTTAAGAGAGTTAACTATAGTGAATTGCAATTATACCTGAGTTGTCCCTGGCACTTATATGTTGCCAGCCTCCAATACAATAACTCTAGTCTGAACAGAATAAAGCAGACTTCCTAGGAAGACTTGAGCAGCTATGAAATTTTAATTGGTAATAGAAAACAGAATTCTATTTTCACTATAGAATGTGTTTTGGGTGCATTGCCAACATTACTCTTTCAGGCCCAAGATGTCAGAGAATTCTAGAAAATTTGAAGCCATGAGAACCTCAGCCTCCAAGATTTTATACCAAATGTAAGCCCATTGCCAAAGATATTGATTAATTTGCAATATTTACACACACAGGGCATTTTTTGAACCATATTACTACTTATTTTTTAGTGACAAACTGCATGTTAAATGAAGCATAGACAGAAGTGGCAACTTGTGTGTCATTGATGGAAAAATAATTCTCAGAAATGGGAAGCAATCTCTGGAATGTTGGCTCATATATTCAATATTAATTCAACAGTGTTACTTGCTAGTGGCAAAAATATTTGCCATGTTGTCAAGATAAGTCAAGATTGAGGTCTTATAATGTTATCCAATTTACTATTCAATATACTTACATCCAATATCATCAAATAGTGCTACAATGAAAAATGAAAGCTTTCTAGTTGTTTTTTTACTAGCCTCCTAGTCTATTGAACTCTTGCTTGCAAGCTTTTTCTTCATTAGCAAGCAAAATTAGGACAAAACAGCTTTTCAAGCTTTCCATCTAACTTTGAATTGCACACATGTATAGTCACACATACAGTCACAAAAAATCTATCAAACAATTGCCATCAATCCATCATGTTGATTGGTATCTGGCAATCTATTAACCATATGATTTGTATCCCTCACTCTACTTGATTGTTATTTGCACTGAGTCAATATCAATATGGCCATTGGCCATATTGATATTGAATAAGAAATATGAATAAGTATTCATATTTTAAGCAATTAAATCAGAAGCAAAATGACAACAAGCATCTGCCACAATTCTAGCTCAGCATGTTTGGTGTAATGAATTAGGCCTCCTTTAGTTTACACAGGACCAGATGTAGAATGAATCTACTTTTTAAGGCTCTAAAGGCTCTAAGCTGGGATTTGAACTTTCCTGAAAATTGCAGATTCATTCCATGATGCCAGCTGAATAATTTCCTACCTATCATTTATTGAAGAGAAGTGGTCACACCAATGGCTTGAGAAAAAACTCCACAAAAGCTATTGTTGACAAACTGTATAATAAAACCAAAAGATTCCAAAGATTTGCTTAGGAGCTTAAATTTCAGGATTGGAATTTTCCTACTTGTTTCTGGAATCTCATTGCTCAAGCGTGACAAATTTTTAATACATTTGGAATCTTGTGGCCTGATCATGCACTTTTGTTAACAATTAAATAGGAGGTAATTCATCTGGTGGTAATCTCGCAATTCCAAAAATGGCAGAAAAGTGTTGGTTGGCGGTTGCAGCACTAAAGGTAGATGTTTTCTACGCTTGGGAGCCTTCAGATTTTAGTATTAAGTATGAGTTTACCAATATTATCTTGACCTATGTTATACTAACGGTATACTTGCATTTCATAATGGTAAAATAATAATGCAAAAGCATTAATAATTAAGAGCCAATTATTTTCAAAGCAACTGACAGTGGGTGAGTTTGATACAAAATAACAAAGAATTTGGATCAATTTCTATTGAATCTAACCTATTCTTTCAAATACCTAATTAATTGTCATTCTAAAAAGTAAAATGAAAAATGGCAAAATTTTTTCTATAATTGGTGACCAAAAAATGCTATGTAAACTTTAAACTTAAGGATAGCATTGAAAATTCAAGTAAAAAATATAAACTATAAAGCTTCACACTTTACTTATGAATTACTTTCATCATTTACCTGTGTAAAGAGACTGCGTAATTCCGTAAGCAGCGGCACCGGCAAGTGCCAATAATTTCACTCCCGTTCCTAAGCCTTTTGGGCCTTTCCCTAGTCGACCCAACAAATCACTCAATTTATCCGCCATTTCTGAGTAAATATGAGTTCAAGAAAACAATTATCGGCACAATATGTAATTTATAATATAACTGTCAATTTGTCTAATATTATTTAACGACAACAGTGATCTAAAGCTACTGTTGTCATGCGGCGTTGGGAAATTGCGGCGTTCTAAGGCCCCGAAACACACCGAATTAAATACCCTGAGAAGTAAAATAGATTACGCTAAAAATCAGCATATTGCTAATGCATGGAGTGGGTTATGGGTAGAATCAGAGACAGTAAGATATATGGTGACTTGAAATCGGATTCCTCTAAGTACAATATTTAGATCAAAGATCACATTTGAAGATTAACAAAAATCATTTATTTTTATTTAATTCAGCGGTTTCAGCGTTTATTAGGCCGTAGGCCCGTCGCCTATTCCTAACATTGCAGAATATCCACACCATGTTGCTATGGAACTCGCAACTCATTCGCAAAGAACTTGAACTTGCAACTCACTGCTTCAAATTGTATTTGCTTAACCGCCCGGCCTCCATGCTGATTCTGACCAGAAACTCGTGCACAGAGCTGGGATCGAACCCGCACCTCTCTGCTCCCATCTTGGTAATCTGAACTTTAACCACTGGGACACCCTGCTCATAAGGCCGCCCTGCCAACCCTGCCCTTATGAAAACAAATACAATTTTATATTTTGGTTTAGCTGGTGCTGGTGCCTGTTGCTATTTCAACTATTTGTTATCAGTTATGTTATGTTATGTAACGTATTCTAGTGAATCTTGGGGTACAATACAGCAGTTGTCCCCAGAGTGGGCGATATCGCCCCCTGGAGATGGTGGAAACATCTGGGGGGGGAGGCGAGAAGGGGGCAGTAGGGGGGCGGCGGTCCACGAAGTCGAAGTCAGAAGCTTGTACGTTTGTTTGACGATTTGTACACAACACATGCAGAACATGACTCCGACTCGAATACATTTTTACGAGCTAAAAATCACCGTTTGAAAGTTAGGAATTTATATTCAAAATTTCGTACGAATCTGTTCAGTAGTTTGGAACACATTCATTGTTCACTGCGAATTTCGGCCCGTATCGCCATATAATTCCCAAATGAAGGTGAAATTTTAAAAATTTTCACAAGCTAAACATCATCGTTAGGTTTCCAAATCATAATGAATACGTGTTCCAAGTTTTATCGAGCTGCGTTCATTTATTAGTGTGGGAGATATTCCTTGGTCACTGAATTTGGAGATTGGCCGTGAGACCGGCTGCGAGACCGGCCATGAGTGCGGCCGAAAATTCGTCTCAACCGCCTTGAATGTCTAGGGGGGAAAGGATGAGGTATTTGAATCGCTGTACGCTTTATATACCGTATATACGGTATCTAGTCGTGCAGACTAGATGGAAATTAGTCGTGCAGATTAGACGGAAACATAAAGAATGCAAAACAATTATCACTGCAAAGAAATATATTGGTTTAGTAAATGGGGTTCTATATGTGAAATACACATTTGTGTTTGACCTTTCTCTTTTAAAATTGCAGCATACTAAATATCAAGAAAGAGGCGTTTGTTTTTATATGTGTCTGTCGTGGGGGGGGGGCTACGGATTCACTGGGGAGCCACAGGGGGCGCCAGCCTGAAAAAGTTTGGGAACCACTGCAATACAGGATCCAACTGATTTCAATTCTCTTTTCCGGTGTGTTTGCAACGAATTTATTTCTGTTTGATCTGACTCCATAAAATCTCAGTAAATAATTGGGCAGTCGTCAATTATACCAAACGATTTGCATAAATTATTACATTTATTCACTTCAATTTTCTTAAGAACCCCGAAAGTTGACCATTTTTTAACATTAATATGATTTTGACATTTTCTTTCCACCGCAAAATTGTATTTTAAATCCCTAGAAGAGCTCCTGACTGTATATCGCCTTTAAAAACAAATTGGATACGAAAATTTAAAATTCACGACGAAATTATCGGACTAATAAAGTATCTAACGCAAAATAGGTTAAGCACCCTTATAAGTAAACACTATAATAACGAAGTATCCTGTGGGATCTCGCTATTCTGCCTTATTTTATAATTCATGACAAAATGAAATAATACATTTTCGAGACGTTCACTTTCACGAGATGGAGTACCTTCAAAGAGGGAAGAATCAAAGAAGCTTCCAGGTGTGAAATTAAACTCTACCGAATAAATGATGAACGTTGGACATGAGAGATATGTGTGGGTCATATGGGTGAGCAATTCCAATCACGTATATGTCTCATTGGCGCGTAAGTGTGGTCTACACTAGGCTTGAGTATTTTATTGAGTACTACGCCATTGACCCGTAGGAAGAATGTTCAAAAGTTACATAGGTTGTGTACTCCTGGGGAGACGCGAATTAAGTCACATAAGAACAAAGCAATAGAAGCATGTAATTAGCATTTAATTAAATGTGATCTTAATTTGGACGTGTTATCCTCATGACGACTTCATATTCTATGGCCCAGAAACTATGCGAACTTAACAGTGATTGCAATAATCAACCTCAAATCTACTTTGTGTCAGACGTGCAGTTACGAAAAAATGAAGCATATGATATGTTTGCACAGATTCGACATTATCAGCGTACATATGAATATACAATGGCACTAATTACATTTAAAAACTGGATATGGAAGCATTGACATTAATGGATAGCAAGATATCCATGGTTAGACAATAAGGAAAACCATCATTCCGCATTATAAAACCATACTCACTAACCCGTCGTTAAATTTCACCCAAATCCTAATTTAATTTTGACGATTAGTTGGTCTAGTAAATGCAACATTTCCCTGTCACTGAACCCATTCACAATCATTTCTGAGAATAATTAGAAGCACCTGGAAGTACAGGAAAATAGCAAATTCACCCTTTGAGGAGTTTTTTCAATTTTATGGTTTTTCTTCTCAACTGTAATAATCACTGATGCATGACATCTTAAGAGAAATTAATAATTTCGAAAACCATTGGCAAAAGCAAAATCTTGATGCATGGAATCGAAATCATATCCTGAGAAATATTTGTTTAGTAGATGTATAGACCATATCAGAGTTGCAGACATGGTCATGGCAATACATCAGACATGCAGACATGGTCTAGTCAATACATTAGAGTTGCAGACATGGTCATGGCAATACATCAGACATGCAGACATGGTCATGGCAATACATCAGACATGCAGACATGGTCATGGCAATACATCAGACATGCAGACATGGTCATGGCAGGTCTGAGGGTTTCTTGTAGACCACTCGGCCGGCACAGACCACCTGCTCGATGAGGGACGCATGCTCGCCCAGCTGGTAGATCAGATGCTCCCACCTGCCATTTAAGAGAAATATTTAGTAATTTAAATATTTTTAGATATAATCTCTCTTCTATCTTATATAAATCGTATTTATTATTCTGTTTGAATTGACGTATTTTTGATAAATTTTTAACACGGAAACTAATTAAAAACAATGAAAATTATTTGCATGTGGCGTCAGAAAGGAAATTAGCATGGATAATTCTACACTGCGACTCGTACATCTAGTAACTAGGCGCCTCGTAAAATTAATATACTTTTCTCTCCCTAGACGACTGCCTCTTATATCACGGCGCCTGTGCACACCTTATTGTCGCTACACGCATCCCTCACCTCGGCGCCCTCAGGACCATCAGGTCACCCACCACGCATCCCTCACCTCGGCGCCCTCAGGACCATCAGGTCACCCACCACGCATCCCTCACCTCGGCGCCCTCAGGACCATCAGGTCGCCCACCACGCATCCCTCACCTCGGCGCCCTCAGGACCATCAGGTCGCCCACCATGCCAGGCCGCAGGGCGCCGTGGGAGGTCGAGCGCCTCAGGGCGTGAGCGGCGTTGAGCGTCGCTGCCGTCAGGGCCTCCGCGGGCGACAGGCGCAGCAGCGCGCACGCGAGGTGCAGCACCGTTGGCTGCCGAGCAGGTCTCGTTCTTATTATTTGATCTCTTACTAACCCAATAATTATTATACACAGTTAAGCATGCTCATTTATATACGCAGGAACTAATTCTAATACTCGTTTATTGTATAGATAGATGCTTATTCTCTCTGCCAGCCCCACCATAGCAAGACAATAAGCGTTCGGGTTGAAGTCGGACCCGAGAGCGACGATGACGCCCTTGTCAATCATCTCCCTGGCAGGAGGAGCCTTGAGCCCCAGCAGGAGTTGCGTGGTAGGTAGCAGCACCGCCACCGTGCCCCCCGCCGCCAGGGCCGCTATTCCCTCCGGCGACACCTCCTCGCAGTGACTCACTGCTTCGGCGTGTATCTCCCCTGCCATCTGTCGGGCAGTGAAGCACAATCATCATGGCATGCTTCCAGTAGATGAACAAGAATGTGATATTCTCTGTAATAATTTCAGAGGAGAGGTAGACTCAAACGCTCATTACATTATTTTCTCATGCAGGGAAACAATCTGCATTATTATTATTTGCCACTTCGTATTAGTATATTGGTGGCATGATTACCTTAGCTCCGTCCAGGGGCGTGAGCTCGTCCACGTGAAGGTTGAGCTTGAGGCCGCTGCGCTGGGCGGCGTCGGCGATGGCGCGCGTCTGGGCGATGCTGTAGGCGCCCACCTCACAGAACACGTCCACGGCGTCCACTGACAGCTGAGTTATTAATTAATACTTTTTTAAATTGAGTTTTTATATGTATTATATATATATATATTATTAGCGTGAGTTATTAATTAATGAATAACTGTTTTGTTGCTTACATAGCGGGAAATTACACCCAAGGGCAATACCGATAAGCTCACTTTAATACACGCTAAGTACACGTAACGATCGATTTCTTGTCTGTGATTGGTGGGTTTAGCTCAAAAGGCCCTCATTGATTGGTTTTAAGAGCTATAAACTCGTACTTATTTTTAACAGAAAGGAAACTACAGAATGCATGCGCTTTCGAACGCTACCTGACTATACTAACACGTCGATTACCTCACCGAGCTCCTTGGCCGCCATCACCGCCGGCAGCTGCTCCTCTATCACCTGACGGGTAGCCTCGTCTGAGGCCATCAACCTGATAATAAATACACATGACTATTTAGTATTGTAAACATAGTTAGTAAACAGTTTAGTCGGTAGACGTGACCTCAGTCAGCGGAGAAGGGTACGCCGGAGTTTAGTAAAATTTCACGCTGTATTTCATATTCATTTCTTTGGGTATTCATGCCAGAGGTTATAGTAACCTATGAAGTTTAGTGCTTACAGCCATAGAGCCATGAGTCTATACGGCGACCGCATAACGATGTTCATGTTTAGTTTATCTTAACTGCATCCGGTCCAATCTACTTAGGCTTAACATGCTTACGTTGCCCCAACTAACCGCTCAAAACCAACCTGAGCAGACCCAGCCTAAGCTCATTGGCTACGTGACGACAGAGGTGGGGGCAAACAATCAGGCAGAAAATTTCATTGGCTGCAAGAAGGTTGATTGTCGGTGAGACTAGTAGAGGTTAGGCAGGAATGTGTGAGGCAGGATGCAGAACTGCCTGATTGTGTGCGAGCATTCTTATGCATTTGTTAGTGACTTGCGGCGCTATTAGCGTCAAGCTTTGCGTCACTGCTCTATCTTACGGTGTTCCAGCGTAGGATGCGGCTTCTAGATCTGTGGCTGGCTGTAGTTATGCTTGCTGAGGCTCGACGTGCGATTTGGAGCTTTACGAGTTACACTTTGGCACACGGCTACGCCCCTAAATGTTCATCATCTTTAATCAATGCTTCATGTTTTAATTTTCTGTAATAATCTTTGCGTTTCAATCAATTTCAACAGGTAAGTCCATGTATATATAGTGAGTCAAAATTTGTTTTTTTATCATTAACAGGTGTTAAATTCCGGTACATAATCTAATAACAATAGTGAGCCGATAACCGATTATCTTGCCGGGGCTATAAATTACATTCAGTTGACCATTCTAATGCATGTTCATCATTGGAAAAAATAAAACAAACAAAAATTAATTAATCTCATAAAATCTCGAACAATCCGTATCATTAGCCTCAGCTTCTGACGGGGGGATGGCGTGGGCCCCAAGGAACGTGGGGGAGATGGTGATGGGGGTAAAGGCGGCCGCCTGGTGCAGCAACCTCAGCAGCCGAACTTCCCCGTCAGCGTTGAGTGCATAGCCTGACTTGGCCTCCAGCAGCGTGGTACCTGCAACACCAACCATCAGGACGGCAGAGTGGTACCTGCAACACCAACCATCAGGACGGCAGAGTGGTACCTGCAACACTAACCATCAGGACGGCAGCGTTGTACCTGCAACACTAACCATCAGGACGGCAGCGTTGTACCTGCAACACTAACCATCAGGACGGCAGCGAGGTACCTGCAACACCAACCATCAGGACGGCAGAGTGGTACCTGCAACACTAACCATCAGTACCTGTAGCGTGGTACCTGCAACACTAACCATCAGTACCAGCAGCATGGTACCTGCAACACTAACCATCAGTACCAGCAGCGTGGTACCTGCAACACTAAACATCAGTACCAGCAGCATGACGCCAAAGACTCCAACCTGCAGTGTCAGGCCCCAGCTGTCAGCATGTGACCAGCACCCACCTGACGCCAGCATCCTGCGCAGGCGCTGCAGCAGCAGCGTCAGCAGCTCCTGGTCTGGTGTGTCCCTGGTGCGGTCTACCGTGTACTGGATGCCGCCCCCCGACGCCTGCACCTCCAGGTACGATGCCCCCGCTAGCTGCAGTACGCGTTACGCTTGACAAACTCAACTTTTCGATACAAAATTATACCTACAATAAATTTTCCAACTTACCCGTCAGTTCTCAAGGCAAGAAAAAAGCAGAGATAATATAATGCAGTAATATTGAAAGATACTGTATACAATCTATTTTCTACGGTTGAAACGAGTCAGTAATTTCAGGGTTCTTGAATTAAATTGCGTGAAAGCAACAAGGGGTACAAAGCTACGAAATTCAACGGGAACAAAGCAAGGGGAACTATCTACGAAATTAAAAATTTCAAATAATATCTAGACTGTGAAAATTGAAGGGTGCACTCATGTACTTTTTTCATGCAAAACTCCTTTTTTTTAGCGAAGCAAGAAGCATCAAGGCACTACAACCAACTTTCAGGATGAACTCGTGGACCCGGTCTCCCCCCCACACGGGGTGGGAGTGCGCGTCCACAAGACCGGGCAGGACGCAGCAGCCCGACGCGTCCAGTTTGTGGTCGAAGCTCCAGTGGCCGTAGCGCGCCGCGATGTCGTCGTCGGTGCTCACGTCTTCGATGATCCCATCCCTGCCGGTATATAGCGTGGGTATTAAAATGGATATTCACTTAACTGTTACTAGCTTAGAATGAAAGGAATATTTCTTTCGAGAAATGTTTAAAGTGATTATGTTTTGTATGCGTGCCTAGAGTAGTGGCATAAATTCAACCTTGTGGTAGATTTAGCATACGATTTTCTGTACAAAGGTATTAATTACGTAAGGCAAGTAGGCCTTTATGAGATCTGCTGGTCTACGAAAGTTGATGACCTCTTATACAGCGGTTATTTTAAGGATTAATGTTTCGCAATTTTGAAAACTGTCTCACACGTTTCTTATATACCTGACATAGAAACATCTAATAATTTATAGTTTTTTAGACAGTTCCATTTTACAGAGGAACATCTTAACATGATGTCTAGCCCCAGCAAAGACAGACAACGTTGAATCTGAGTCTCCATGTGAGCTCTGCAGGACGAGTCTCCTAAATGCATAAAGCAATTCTAATATAAAATTACTTTTCGAGCAAAAACCTAATTGAAATATGGCACGCACGCAGCACAGAGGCTTGGCACTCACGCGTTTATGACGACCGAACAACCGCCGGTGGCTGAAGACCTCAGCACGTGAAGGTCTCCCATGGCTGCGCCCTTCTTGAAGAGCTCACCCGGTGCCCCCACCGGCACCACCTCAAGGGCGCCGTGAACCAGCAATAGTCCATGCATTCTGTCGTGTTTTGTTTATCTTTCACAATATTTATTGCTTTACTATACGAAGGAGTTATTTAAGAATTGATGTCACTTATTTGCTTAATTCGCAAGTTAACTAAAAATTTAAGAGCAAAGAACAGTCCACAAAAATTCATATCTTTATAGAAAACGTTTCGGAGTCCAGCTCCATCGTCAGTTCCAGGGTCGCTGAGCATAAGGGCAGGAGTTGTAGGACAGGACAGTTGCTATCGCGCCCCCCTCATTCGGCTGTGCGCGCTCACGCCGAGCAGTGTGATGTGCCTGTTTCTGACAGTGACTTTAGAGTGTTAGCTTCCACCTCCGGTACTTCAGATTTGCGTATTTCAGAATCATTGTACATTTTTAAACTTAGGCCCAGTTTAAATTCAGCTGTTAGCTCCTATCCCCTTGAAATTGTGAATAGATAGGTTTTTTATGCCCTAGTACTTGTAAATTTAGGTTTTAATTGTGTTCTGTGCTTTCAATTGCATTAACTTGCAACTTTCTATGTAACTTCAAGATTCTATGAACTGACGATGGAGATGGACTCCGAAGTTTTCTATAATGATATGAATTTTTGTGGACTATTCTTTGCTTTTAAATTTCTAGTTAATTAAGGAGTTATTTGATAAGTAAAAAGATCACGATACTCATTGATATATCAAATTCTCTTGCCAATGATTTAACTCAAGCAACAAAAGGCATTTACTACATTGGATTGTAATCATAGTTACCGATATTGTTTACAATTTCATGTTTTGACTCAATAATGTGTAACTTTCAGATCACGAATTCCTGACGTAATGCTAGATTAAAATAATTTTACTCTTCGACACTTTATTATTTATAGAGATGTCAGCTTTGTTAAGCTATGCTGGTCTGTCGTCAGTTCTTAATCGTGCGGCCACCTGACCAAAATTTGCACTGCTTGTAGCGGGTTTCGAATCACCAACTCGCGGCTCCAATTTTGATCTTAGCCGCTCGGCCTTCCCGAACTTCACATAATTAATTACCTATAATCAATGTTGCTATTATGAATCAAATATCACAATGGTGAGGATGCAGAAAAAGCTTGGGTAATATGAGGTAGCATTTTATGCACCAGAAATTCGAAGGGAATTGGTATTTTAATACTTATTGCCTGATCTCAAGAAAAAAAATCCGTTGAAGGGTACGGCCAGGGTGTGTGTACAAATGAGTAAAACTGTTTACATCCGTCGTATATTTCCACATTCGGTTTTTTAAGACGTTCTCCGATTCGTGTAGGTCGGAAAACAAAACTTTCACTTCTGGACAGATTGCGCTAAAACTTCCGACCAGACGCATCGCGAAATTTCCGCTTTTCTAATTTTTTTATTCCAACTTCATCTGAAAGTTGAACATTAGCAGTTTACTGACTATTGGTTAGAAGCCGAAAAAGTTTCTATGGACCTGCATGTAACCCGAAATTTAATTTTCAATAAATTTATGAATATGTCTGCAGTTCGTGCCAATGTTTGGTCCCAGAAATCGGATGGATAACTGGCCTCGAGAAGGCCCCAGTTCTGCGGTCCAAATGAATGCATTTGTCTAATTATGATAAAACATTTGACCCAAGATTCAATTCTTTGTCGAATGTTCTACAATTATAACATTGTTGAAAGTTTTACAATTATATGAAGTTTTTTCACAATTATAAACGATGCATTAACCGAATAGAAAACTTTGAACATTGGTTGCTCTAAATGCAAGAATTACTTGTGCGCAGTTAAGAAATCTTCTGAGCATTCAGTAACAACCTGCACAAGCGGCCACTTCTCGCACGACACTGAACCAGGACAGCTCCTTTCATTTCTTTTGTTATTGTAATTTTATTATCAGACGTGAATAAATATTGAGGACTTGTAGATCCTGCAGATACGGAAGGGGAGCATCAGGTTTCAGTTAAAGGTTATGGGTGAAACGTCTGTGAATATATACAAGCTTAACGAGGGCTGAGCTATGGGATAACTTTATTCGGCTTGTCTGATATTGTGTCCACCTGAATGGACGAATGCATTCAAACTTAAAAGAGAATTATAATGGAGAAATGCGCCTGCAGTTTATTGTAAGTAAGTAAAAGTAATGCATTTGCCCCAAGCTAACTATCCATGATGAAGTCAACATTCGAACGGCATTCATTCATTCAAAAATATTATAAAATAACAACAAATTTTCAAATCGTGTTAGAACGAACGATTAGTTGCAGAAAAAAAGTTTTGTTCTGCCACCAGATAGCGCTTAATATTTTCGATGACGAGATAGAAAAATATATCATCACAAAAATGAATTGGTCACATTATCCAAATGGTGACACTTTTTGCATGTAGCACTGATACGGCCTATTGCCGGGCAAATCAGGGCCAAGATGTTCTTCACAAGGGCAAAGAGTTCATCGCTATTTAATTAGACAAAGTCTCTTAATTTTTCTGACTGTACGTAAGGAAGGAAATCGACCTAACTGTACCCAAGAGAGGCTGCCGCCTTATCTTCTCTTCCGTGTTAACAAGCCCAAGTTGTCACAGGCTGAATTAAACAGCAACTGATGGGACGAAATATCGAGAGTAACATGTAGCAGGATCTTCAACTTGTTCTGAATGCCGAAGCTAGAATGCTGAATGGTCTCGTTAATGATTTTATCATTGAATCTATTCCAAACATTTTGTTTCATTCATTCGCAGAAGAGTGAAATCTTATTGTTATGGTTCTAAAAAAAGATTCATTGTACAAATGTTATTTGTCTTCAGAAATATCATCTTTGATTTTGAAATGTACAGTTCGTGAGTCTTTTTGTGCATATGAGGTGAATATATGAATTAAAATTTTAATATGATTAAGCAGAATCTGTTCCTTAATGCAAGTGTTTTTGAAGGCCAGTGAGTTAATTTCATCAAAAGATTTATAATTTGGTTTTATATTTTGCGAATCGCACATATCATGGACAGCCGAGGCAACAACAAACTAGGCGGCTTAAACCACATCAACCCAGAATTATCTATAGACGAAATAATCACATAACTCAGGGCCTTATATCTTGGCCACGTAATACAATCGAATTTATTGAATAAAATCCTTATGCCTGGTATATTCGGTAGGAAGAGCAGGCAAGACTCTCATAAAGCACGTATTGTTGACTCTATCAAAGACAAAGCAAATATTAGACTGTAGCAAGATTAGCCGAGATAGGTACAGTATCGGACTGTGTGGAGAAAGCTAGCCCATAGAATTACAAGAATTCGTGCACAAAAAATTTACGAAATCATCACCCTCAATCTAAAATTAATTTAAAGTTCTGACAAATTCGGTTGTTCCTAAACTGTTAATTGGATATTCATCCTAGAGATGATGAGGGCTCTAGCTCCCACCTGCAGCATCGGGGCAACGCAAGATGATGCTGTGATGGTCTCGTGAGCCTCAAGTGGTTCATAGATCATCCGGCATGTAGGTGGCAAGTGAGACAGGGGCTCAAGGTAGTTGCTGGTAAACTTATTTAGTTTAAGTTTTGAAGAAGGCCACGAACTCCTTTATTGTCATTGAGAAGCTCGTTAATGGAAGTCTGCACCAGTATCGTCGTGCGATGCCAGGATGTATCAAAACGCTGTAGTCGAGTCTCTTATCAGCATGGATGAGTCCCGCTATAAATTCCTAAATTATGGGATGGTTCACGCCTTTGAAATTATTTTCGAGTACGTCTACATACTACCTTATGTATTGTGTCAATAATACCCAATACTTGCACATATGTTGATCTAATAACAAATATTTTCATTTCGAGTGTTACTGGAATTTTTTTTATATGACAATGAAAAATGTTTATTCAAAGCGTCATACAAATATATTAAATGTTCCACTGGGAACATATTCTACGCACTTCCAAATGAAATTAAACGATTGTAGAAAAAGAATAAGAAATTTTTATATACTTTTTAATTTTAAATAAAACTTGCAGTGAAAAGTCAAAATTCGACATAATCATTGTTTTAAAATAATCCCTGAAAGAGAGTTATCTCATGAACAACCGATTTCGATTAGTTTTGGCCATGTCAACAATCAGCGATGTAAGATGCGTTGTGGATGCAGAAAAAGTTGACAATATGTCGTTTGAAGAGCTACGAAGACGAGCTCGTCTGCTAGAAGGCGATATTGATGCTAAACTAGTTGTATTTAGTAAATTAGCCTCCACTTATGGCTCACAATCTAGTTCTTCATCTGCCGATACTACACCTCTGTTGACTTCTGACGATCAGTAAGACAAATAATAATTAGCATAGATTGAATTTGCTTTGGACCAAATATTCTGATTTTTGAAGAAAGTGATATGTTACCAATAAAATATGCTGTTGAAAATATTTTTTATTGGTTTTTCTGTGATTTCTCCTCATTTGTAAGCAGTGAAAAGAAGAGGTGAAGAGGCTCCAGGGCTGGAAAAGTCCTACTTAGCTATTTGAGTTATTTCTGAAATATTTGGCTCTAATATCATTTAATATCAGTTGGCATGAAACCTCGCAGCTCTAAACCTCTAATGTCATGTATTTTTGTTTGATTGAACAAACTGCGGTTTGCAATTTTGCAAAAATGTCGATTAACTCATTCATAAAATTTTCAACTTCACTTCCACAACTTCCTGCAGTACTTCAATGCTCCTGCCAAAATATCCTGCAGAATGTAATAAAAGCAAGTCAATGATTTCAAATGTCCAATTTATATACTGCTTTAATCTAAGTGAACTTAGCCACTTGGCCTCCCCCAGTTTATATAACTGCATAATGTCATAAAATTTATCAATAAATTATTTAATTGGTTAAATTGTCTCTGAGACAAAGATGTCTCTTAACCCTTCAAAAACCAGCTACCTTGCAAGTGCTAAATACTACATTGCAATGATTGCATCCATGATCCATACTACTTTACTGAAATTAATTTATTGAAAAAACTTAACAGGTTACAAAAACCTCCAAGACTCCAGTCCAAGTAGCAAAGTAGGCACAGCAAAGACTAGAATTAAAGCCAATATATTTGCTCACTTGGACAGTTGGACTGGATGAATGAGCTTCAAATCATCAAATGTAAAAAGAATTGCCTTTATGGAAGGCAACAGATGTGTAAAGCTAGACATTAAAGAGTTGAAGTGTGCCTCTGTGCAATGTGATTTTGAATGCCATTCTCTATAGTCAAGTGATCATTGTAGTGTAATCAAGTGCTGTAAAAAATTTTCTTCATTCCTATTGTTATTGTGGAATAACAATAGTTATTATTTTGATTTGAGGTACCTACCTGAATATAATTTTAGTAATTTCTTGTTGGTAGCATCTTATTCATGATTGACTAAGTTTCCTAATAACTTATTGCAGGTATGAGATACTTAGTGGGGAACTGAGTCAGCTCCTCTCTGCTCTTGCTGACATCAATGAACGGCTGAGTGTTGGCTCTTATGGCTCTGCTGTGGCTCACCTGCACACAGTTCAGCGGCACAGGGACATACTCCAGGTGCTGTGGCAGAGTCAGCAAACTATCCATATTGCTGTTGACCTGATGAAATAACCTCTCTTTTACTGGCAGTAATTCGGAAAGACTAGTATGTATCTGGAGTTTCTGCTACCATAAGAAGAAGGCCTTATTGCAGTCTACAAAGCTTTTTGACGAGAAATTTTTTTTACAAGGATTGGTTATTGTATTAGTGTTTAAAAGGGCACTGCATTTTGGTAATACTAATGAGTAATTATAGATGAATGCATTGATTTATTTTGAGCAGCGATTAATGAAAATCATTATAAGCATTAGCAATCAAGTACTGGATCATTCTATTTTCTATAGGTCAGTTAAATCAAGCTTTCATATCACACAGTACTTATCTGATGCATTTTAAAACATCATGAATACTTTATTTTCCTCCTCTAATTGAAGATTGTATGGTTGTATTCTTGACTGGAATGCAAATGCTTTCTGTTTGCAAGCCAAACTTGTACTGTGGCAATGAACAAATAAGATTCAGTAGCAAAGCTTTTTAACAGTTCACAGAATTAGTGTCAATGCATTGCTGCACTTGTAAAAATGTGTAACCTCCCACTAAAATTTGTCACTTCCTTAAGGGGAGCTTCTGGGGTTCAATTTATATTGGTTATTTACAGACGGATCGATTCAAAATTTGGTACATGTATGTAAAACAGAATTCTAAGACTTTTTTATTTGTGTGAATTTTTCGAAAAAAATGAAAGAAAACGTGAAATTCATAGAAAACGGCCAAAAATGGGGTACTTTAGAAGAAATCTCCTCCTAGGATTTTCAAGCTATAACATCGAAACACATATCATTCGATGCGAAAAGACCATATCTAAAAAAGTGTGTATGCATTTTTTGAAATTCTCATTTTTGTGGGTGTGGGAGCATTTTTTGTAAAGTTTTTGGAACCTTTTCGATTTTACCCTCCGCCCCCCCCCTTTTGCAGAATAAAATCTAAACTATAACAAAATTAGAAAAATGCATACACACTTTTGTTTATTTTTTTTCCAAATTGAATGGTGTTTGTCTCATTGATGTAGCTTCAAAACTCTAGGAGGAGATAGGTTTGCAGATACAATAAGTTAAATTTCCAGTAGGGCCTGACAAAGTTGTGCGCGCCTCATAAAAGACATTCAAGGGTGCAAGGTTGCAAGACTACCTACACTATATTGGAGCTCAATTTCTGTCAAGGATGGTGCAAACGACGGCACGAGAACCATCCCATATGACTGCAGGCGGATAACTGAAGCACAGCGTGTTCAGACTAGCTATTTAAGTGTGCTACCGGTAATTTAGGCCTATATTAAATGTTAAGGAACTCCACCACCCCTAACCCTTTCGCGATCTGTCGTGAACGCATAAATCAACGTACAGAGATGGTTTTGGTACCGTTAGGTGCGTCAGAATGTAAGCTTTAAGATGAGTAGTATAAAAACCAAAAAAGTCAAAATTTCCGATTTTGACCCAGACGCTCTCCTTAATGAAGGAAAAGACAGCCCTGCTGGCCAATTGACTCAAATCACGTTTTATAGCACAGTACTGCAAAGATTGTTAACTATAAAAGCTAAACTGGTTTTTTGGATCTGTTTTCTTAGCCTCAATTTCACATTGAGCTGAATTTAACATATTTTTAATATGGTCAATACTAATCAATATAAAAAATAAATCGTTTGACAACATAGTTCATGACTCAAAAATGTGCAAAAAGCTGTTAATTTTTAAATGAGAACTGCCAGTTTATTCATTAGCCACAAAACTTACAATGATATTGTGCAATATTTAAATAGCTAGCTTAATTTTAATGGCTTGGTAAATCATTTACTAGGGATAGAGCCTACCAACTAACCCAAAAATTGAATAAAAAAGTGTCAAGCTATAAACTAATTTTGATAATATTATAAGATCAATTTTGTGTAAGTAAGGTCACTGTCAGAGAATGAGTGTGCATTGTGAGGAGTGAGCTCTATAGTACCAAATTCCTGTTGCAGGATTACCGCAACGAGTTCCAGCGGACTAGCAGCACGATTAGGACCCGGCGTGAGCGTGACCAGCTCTTGAGCTCAGGAGGGGCTCGCAAGAATGGTTCCCTTGCAGGGCTCTCACGCCGTGACTTGTACCTCAAGGAAAACGAGCACCTGAGCAACTCGGAGCGCATGGTGGACGAGCAGATCTCCATTGCTGTCGAGACAAGAGACCACATGAAAAACCAGCGTGAAGCTTTCAAGCTCATACAGACCAAAGTCAATGATTTATCCAACAGGTTCCCTATGTTGAACACGCTCATGTCCAAGATCAACTTGAGAAAACGACGTGACAGCATCATTTTAGGACTGGTTATTGGCCTGTGCTTGACTTTCATGCTCTGGTGGATGTTCTTTTGAGCTTCTTTATATGCCTTCATTCTTATCTGTTAAGCACAGTACTTGGTAATGTGATATGACACGCTGTGTATTGCATGGTCTGCAATTAGCTTTACTTTTAAGAAGTTTGAGTTACTTAATTCAGAGTTTTGATACGTTATATGTCCATGAAAATTTAAAGGTTAGGCCAAAGTTAAATTATGTCATTTGCATTATTTTTTTAGAATTTGTTGTGCGTACCTAATTCTTTTGCAATATTCTTGTTGTTATATTTGAAATTCGGTTGCGTAGGATCAAACTTGATATCTTACATGACCCGCCTCCTGCATCTTTGCTTATTTATATAGTGCAGCAACTATTGCATCACTTGGTAACTCGATTAGTCAATAGCATTAAATTGAATTTTGTTCCTTCCCTTTTGTGAAGTGTGGTAGTAATATCCTATTCAAATATTCATATTTCCATGGGAAACAAATTGCTAAATTTGTTAATTTAGGTACCTAAGTCACTTAAAATGAACCTTGCAATTTTGCATATTATTATCGGCGGAAATGAAAAATGTAAATCATGTTGGCTTAGGCCAATGCATAAATTATCTTGTTAATTTTCATCTTCTTGTTCGTAATACTTTCTTTATCTTGTCTGAATGTGGCCACTCGCTGCCGTTGTTTTAACTTTTGACTAATTCACTTACTATTGTCTATTTTATTCATATCTGAAAGCCTGGTAATACGAGTTATCTTCTATAGACGTAGGGTTAAATGTGCTTGCATGCAATTACCAGTGAAATTTGCCCTTGCCATGTAAGGAATTTGGCCTGGCTTGCTTGCCAATTTTTCGTTAATATATATGTTACTGAATTTTACGCTTAGTATTTGAGAGAAATTATATATATAAATATGAATTGATCGTCTACTGATGGACTTTTAAATCACAGACATCTGCTCTTAGTCGACTGTACACTTGCCTTGTCGTGAATGACGTTCTGCTGAGGCCAGGAAATAGAATTAATTTTATTTCACGGCCTGTACAGCTGGCAGCTTCCAAGCAACGGCTGTATCTCGTTACTTTGGAAGTATGAACAGTACTTCCGACTGTATGTCGTTACAACGACTGTATGTCGTTACAACGACTGTATGTCGTTACAACGACTGTATATCGTTACAATGGCTGTATGTCGTTGACATCACATGTTGATGGCACTACATGTACGCCACGACGCACATTCTGGGACTAATAGTTTTAGTGTGACAGGAGGGTGCGACGTTACACTCTTACAACAGTGATGTCATATGGTGTCAGTGAGGTCATATGTTGATGACGCCGCATTTTGATGATGTTAACGGATGACGACACGGAATAGAGCTTTATTGCCTGTGGTGTATTTGGCCTGAGCGCTACTGGGGAGTGTGGGTGAATATCTACCGAGTATTTTTACAATAAACTTTTACTTAATTGCCACTTATTGCCTCTCGTGCTTCTGCGAGTCGTACCAGCCCCCGCCTCTGCTGCAGCGATCCTTCAATTTCCCGCCACTCAATCCATGGGATATAACTTGCATGTTTCCTCACAATAATTGGATCACGTCCTCTAAACTTTTATTTCATGATCGTTATTACTTCATGGATAATCTACATGAATATAAAAGCTTTGAATCTCCTCACTTAACTTGGTCATCGCAGTTATAACTTGAATATTTATTTTATTTTTTTCTGCTGTTTAACACAAGTCACTTTTAGTAATTTGAAATTTAACTTTTCTCTCGCGCGTACTTGTCATTGCAGATGTTGTTCATCCCTCTCACCCGATAGTTGAAAGTTATTTACGATTTCATCCAGCGTACAGCCAATGATTGGAGGTAATTAACTCCTTCAGTGTCTTTCTCAAGGCGGCACTCGTGGCCATCGCACGCTGTAGTTTCGACGCCACCTCGACTCAGATTCTCGACGTAAGATCCCATATCTTCTTTGATGATCGAGTATTGAAAATGAAGTGACGTAGATTAGTTGGCTTAGTACGGAAGAATAGAGGGGCGTGATCATGTCGATAGAGTTTACTCAACTGGCATGAACAAAGTAAACACAAACCCATGTTTGTGAAGCTGATCCCGCAGGGAGGCGGACATGCCGCCAGGGGATGCTGAACGCTCCCCCGGGTTCCCCAGTGTAAATTTATAACATTTTATGCCTGTAGTTGCAGTGTCCACAACAAGAGTCCATGGAACAATACTTTGGGTAGCTGCTTGGGTCTTTTGGCCTTTCGATGGCTACTTTGTATGTTTGTTCATCTCGTCGCGACGGCAATTTTTCCATTGGCTATTGTAGTGCTGGTAGCTATTTGGCCGTTTGTTTGTCTCGTCCTGGTGGTCATTTGTCCCGTTTGTTTGTCTCGTCCTGGTGGCCATTTTTGCCCATTTGTTTGTCTCGTCCTGGTGGCCATTTTGGCCCGTTTGTTTGTCTCGTCCTGGTGGCCATTTTGGCCCGTTTGTTTGTCTCGTCCTGGTGGTCATTTGTCCCGTTTGTTTGTCTCGTCCTGGTGGTCATTTGGCCCGTTTGTCTGTCTCGTCCTGGTGACCATTTTAGCCCGTTTGTTTGTCTCGTCCTTGTGGCCATTTTGGTCCGTTTGTTTGTCTCGTCCTGGTGGCTATTTGGCCCGTTTGTATGTGTCGTCCTGGTGGTCATTTGGCCCGTTTGTATGTCTCGTCCTGGTGGCCATTTTGGCCCGTTTGTTTGTCTCGTCCTGGTGGCCATTTTGCCCGTTTGTTTGTTTCGTCCTGGTGGCCATTTTGCCCGTTTGTTTGTTTCGTCCTGGTGGTCATTTGGCCCGTTTGTTTGTCTCGTCCTGGTGGCCATTTTGGCCCGTTTGTTTGTCTCGTCCTGGTGGCCATTTTGCCCCTTTGTTTGTTTCGTCCTGGTGGTCATTTGGCCCGTTTGTTCGTCTCGTCTCGATCTTCACTTGGTCCATCTGCACATCTCGTCTAATGTAAACATTCATAATCGTGATAACGATGCCTAAGTTGATATTTGTTCTGGTAAGTTCAATGTCCAAATAGTTTAAAAAAAAGAACATATTTTTAGGTGACTCATCGTGAGCTATCGTCGACCTCAACGGTTCATTCATTATTAATAACTTGTGTGCCATGTCCAAATGGCACTATGATTGTATGCCTCCTGAACGTATGCTTATAAGATGGGTTCGATTTTGCACAGACGTATTTATTTCCCCAAACAATTGTGTATGTTCATTTTGTTACACTGGACAGGGAATGTTTGCATAGTTCACAATTAATATTCTGTAAACCTGATATTTAAGCTGTATGCAAATCAGGCTTAATAAGTGATTAGTTAACAGGGGATGATATTAAACCTTTCTCGATTACACTCTCCTGTTTAAAGTATAATATTCATAATTAGAAGAGTTAGCAACACAAGCATAAGTTGAAGATGACGACGCTGCCGGTGGAGCTGACGAAGGACAAAGCAGAGCCTGTGATGGACGAGGATCCTCCTGACGCAGGCGACGAGGACGACGAGGACATGGAGGAGGGAGAAGAGGACGACGAAGAAGAAGAGGAGGGAGACGACTCTGTCACGCATGGAAGACGATCAGGTGACATTCTCAGTGCTGTGCACTTCAATTAATGTTACTTGTTATTAATGTCAAGAATTTTGCGTATTTCTTATTGCACTGAACATTTGCGTAACTCGCAAGCTGTTATTATAAAAGCATACAATAAATGTTGTATAAAGTTATGTTGCATTCTAGTGTGAACATTTTTTTAGACTAAATTAAATTTTATAAATAAATTGAGGTTAATAAATTATATATATTTTTTCAAATAAAATTGTAGGATTCGCATAAAGTGAGATTTATAGATTCAAATTAGAAACTTTTTTTTCTTTCAGTGCCGAGCATGACTACATTTATGAATGCATATCATGCCTGAGTTAAATTACAGGTCGCACATAGAAAATTAGCTAAAATCCTCAGCATGAAAGTGATGAAATTTTATAATGTTTTTGTCCAGGGCGGGGCCTGACCCTCATGACGCTCCTGAAGGAGAAGGTGCTGCAGCCTGGCCAGGGCAATATGACCATCAATTACCTCGTGAGTTATTACCTACAATGGTTCAGTTGTTCAGCTCTAGTGCTGACATACTCGTTAATTATCTTGTAACTGCCAACATTCATAATTAATTAATGAAACCAACATAGATATTCACTACCTCACTACCGCCAATACATAGATAGCTTATCTTGTTAATGCAAACATATTAAGTGATTATTAAAAGTAATTTAAAGTAATATTGTAATGCTAATGTTCCCTCGTGTCTATCAAGAGCAACCCTCTTATTCCCTCATGTCTGGCCATGGCGACCCTATAATTCCCTCATGTCTGGACATAATTCCCTCATGTCTGGCCATGGCGACCCTATAATTCCCTCATGTCTGGACATAATTCCCTCATGTCTGGACATAATTCCCTCATGTCTGGACATAATTCCTCCATGGGTGAGCAGGGCAACAAGTTCAAGGGAGACCTGCTGGTGGACGGACGCATCAGGTCGCAGGAGACAGGCAAGGTGTTCGGCACGCCCAGCGCCTGGGCCATCTACTGCAAGCAGATCGTCAACCCCAACAAGAAGAGTGGATGTGGCTGGGCCTCCGTGAGTCTCTAACACATTCACTTGCAATTCAAAACTTAGATATTCAAATATTTTTATCCTTTAATACGCATCAACATATTTACCAGTCCTGGAAAACTTTTTCACTCATAAAAACCACTTAATACTACCAAATTATCTACTATTAATATGAAACTTGGTCCTTGCATGAAATATTTTAATTCTTTAATGACTATCAACTTGTTTTGTTCTGTGTCTGTGAGCTTTTTGTTCTTGCAAATTAAATTAATAGAAATTCTATGTGTGCATTGTGAAGTATTCTATTCAATATCACTTGTCTTAAAATCGTTATTATTTTTGTCAACACTCACAACATTATCATCATATAGATGGCGGTGCCCGTAGGAGCATTTGCTTCATGCTTTTGTTTCTCTTTCACGCTCTACGGTGCCTTACAATACGCCTTGTGCTTTCACTCATTCACTGTGAACACATGGCGTATCGTACCTACTTTATTGTTACACTGATCTCAAGTTCGTAAATTGTTAAACTTCTAATAACATGATTTATTTTAAAACGGCACTAATATATATGACTCGAATATTACTTTCTGTATTTGACGAAATGTTACTATTTTATTATCTGATGCCTGACCTAAAATTATGACGGAATCGTGCAGGTGAAATACCGCGGCAAGAAGCTCGACGAGTACAAGAACAACTGGAACCGACAGAAGAGGCTCGAGTACGAGAGAGAAGGCGACGACATGGGTGAGCTTCTTTATTTGTAAATAATCAGACTGATTCAATGCTGAAGATTTAGTATCGGAAGAAAAAAAATGCATTTGCAAAGTTTGAAAAATGGCAAATTTTATACTATTACTTAGTTGTCATATTTATTAATATGTATAAACCTGTATTAATTTTATAGTTTACAATCACATGGAGTGCAGATATCAATGCAGAATTGACTTTTTAAGACTGCGTTATGCAGCCCCGACATCATTGCTTCTTCGTTTGATTTATGGTATTGCTGATACCTTAATGATAATAATAGTATCTTTTTATTTTTTGTCGCATTTAAGTTTTTCCAGCTTAAATCGTGTGTCCTTTTTTGCATATAAAAATAATATTGTAAAATAATATTCCAAATATATATCGCGAACCATTAAATATCAAAGAGGTAGTTCGTTAATTGTGGTAGCTATTTGCCGATAGTGATGACCTTAAAAAAGACTAGCACTGCAATAATAGAATACTGGAATCATGAGTACTGCACTCACAGCTACTGTAGATTATTATTGAATATTAATTATTACCGATTTGATTATCAGTATTGATTATAACCGAATACTAATTATGACTGATTTAATTATCAGTATTGATTATAAAAGAATATTAATTATGACTGATTTAATTATCAGTATTGATTATTACTTAATATTTAATTATTAGTATTGATTATTACCAAGTATTTAAAGCGCTGGTGTGCAGAGTGTGGTGGCAGCGCTGCAGTTGGGGGAGACGTCGCTGGCATGGAGGTGGACGACGGAGGCTCAGGCAGCGACAGCGACGGTGACCACCACGACCACGAGATCATTGAGTTCGACATGCTCCACACCAGGCAGTCAGGGTCTCTTGCTTGCTACTTGTCAAACCGAGTCATATTTACTCTAGAATTATCCTATCTTGATCTCATCTAATGTGATGAGCTCAACGAAAATTATGATCTCATTTGATATGTGAGCTACAGCGCTCCTTTTTAGTGTAGTATTGCGGTTATTGTTTATTGTACTGTATTCTTTGTAACAGCTGCTCAACATTGGGGTGAATTTTTCTAAATAGCGATGCTGTTTGCGCGAAGGGCGCGGCAAAAATGACGTACAGTAGCACTGCTATGTCTGCTTTCTACTCGTGGATGAACAAGTTTGTCATTATTAGGACAGTTAGTCGCATTTATTTTAAGAATATGGCTACCGAAACCCCACACACTCCTAATTTCTGCGTCCTTGCCATCACCATTGGGACAGTTTGACCCGTTCATTTCTCTGAGTTTCAACCCAGCGCATTCATAATTCCCCTTCCCTGTGCAGTGATCCGCCGTACGCGGGCAACCCTCTAGTTGAGCTCACGAGCTTCTCGACGCTGGGGCGCCTGCAGCCGTTCACGGTGGCCGTCTCCTCGTCCGCCATGGCCGTCATTGACCTCCACGTCCACCTCACCAGGGCTGAGGCGCTGGGCTTCCTTGCTGGCCAGTGGGACGTGAACAACCACAGTGAGGGATTCTGCCATGATATTTTTTCATTTAATTCTATTGCGTTGATAAATATATTGAGTGATTTTTGCATCATGTCTCATGCCTTTATTATTCATTCAATTCTTATGTTGTTCTTATTTAGTTTATTCTTATTTGTCCTTTTTGTCCTGAAAAGATTATCTAAAAATTTGATTTATTTGTTAGATATATGCGCCGTCAAATTTCAAAATTTCTTATCCTTTTATGCTATTTCTGAGAAATCGCCTGCTAGATTTAATAATTGAGGTGTCGGTAAAGGTTTTCCTCTGTAGTATTTTGTGTTCACGTTTCTTACCTTAATTATATGTCCGATTCTAAAGCTCTCTCTGAAGTCGTCATTTCTTTATGTTGTGAAGGTTTGGAAGTTGCATAATTCTAATCTCGTCATAACTCATTTATTGAAAAAGTGCCGTTAGCGGGGGTAAGATTGGCCCATAAGTGTAACATTGGCCCAAAATAGAAAGATTTTTTGTGCTGTTGTGAGATCATGTGATCAGCTCATCAGACCAGAAGTACCACCTATCTAGTGATGCATAATATAGGCAGTAAATTAGGTCATCACATTACAGCAAAACTAACATTCTAATTTTAAGTTACTTGAGGGCCAATCTTACCCGGCTGACTGTAGACTATTGTGTTATGCATTTATCGGTTGTTATTTCTCCCAGATCTGATAGTGAGTGTATATGATAAACCTCAGATGTATGTGTTACTCTCAGATCTGATAGTGAGTATGTATGTATATGATATACCTCAGAATCTTAGATATATCTTATACTCCCAGATCTGATAGTGAGTGTATATGATAAACCTCAGATGTATGTGTTACTCTTAGATCTGATAGTGAGTGTATATGTACGTACCATATGATACACCTCAGAATCTTAGATGTATCTTTTACTCCCAGATCTGATAGTGAGTCACGCGTTCCCGCTGTGCTGCGAGGTGTCCACGTCTGACCCCTCAGAAGCGCCCCTGCACGCAGCCAGCGCTGCAGGCGTCGCTGCCGAGGCCGCCATACAGCGGCAGATGGCCTCTCTCAAGCTCGCTCTCGTCGGCTGGTCAGACGCAACGCTTTTGATACTCTTTACTTAATTTATAGTCTTTTTGTGCAATCCACTCGTACTGTACTGAAACGTTTAGTTTAAACGATTATTCATATTTAAATTCTCTAACAACTTATTCCCGATTTTATTAGATATTGAATTAAAGTGGAAGATATAATTATGGCACATCTCTACAAAAATTAACTGGCCGTTGTTCACCACTATTAAAATCAGGTGACTACCGTTCATGGGTTCAGGTGACTACCGTAAAATCAGGTGACTACCGTTCTTAAGCGAATTCATGTGTGTCGCAGGTATCACATTATCCTTTATAAAGATATAGCGAATTTTTGGATCATCTTTGTTTTTAAATTCCTTAGGTATCACTCACACCCGCACAGCGCGCCTCTGCCATCACTCAGAGACGTGGACGCTCAGCTCGAATACGAGATGAAGATGAAAGGCAACAACGACGCCAGCTACACACCCTGCATCGCTTTCGTCGTGTGTACGTCCTTCTGATTGCTGTGCTAACCCCTCGAAATTTTGCTCAAGTAGTTTCTTGTCGTGAGGCTCTATTGATGGTAACGCTGTTTTGTTTTTCGATTTTTCTTTAATCTGGTGTTTAATGGGTATTTGAAAATATTTTTTAAAGCAGATCGAAATCTTTTTGGATGTTTCAAATGGTTGTTACAGGATTCATATTTTTTATTTAAATTGCGTTTTAGTCATTTTACAACCTCCACTATCATTCACACTGCATAATGTTGTTCACTTCTGACTCCACTTTTTTCTTCTACTTAGACGCTACAGAAAACCATCACTATGCTGAGTGACAGCTTGTGTATGTATTAAACTTTTTTTTTTGGGCAGCGCCATTCAACGACTCGTCGGGTCGAGCTTTGAACCGCTCCAGTTCTTCGTCCGCCTCGGTCATCAAAGCCGCTTATGTCGTCCCACCGACCACCGCTGCCAAGTCAACCGTCATTGGAGGATCAGGTACACCTGTTCCTGTGGTATTTAATGCACCTCTTCCTACAACAGTGGCCGTGAAAGACTCAAAGCTGGATGTTTCAGAAACTATGTCCATGTCGGTTGATAACTCTGATGTTGGCGTACCTGGAGGTCCTAACGCTACGTCGGAAAACACAGATCTCGCCCACGCCAAAACGAGCGCCTCAATTGACCACAAGGACAATCAGATTTCAGGCGCCACGACCAACGCCAAAGTTGAAAATTCCACCTCTATAACGTTGGGCTTGACAACAACTACCATTACTGATGCTGTCAAGCCTCAGACTTCCTCTTTAGTTCAAAGCTCTACTCCGACTATTAAAACTACTATTTCTGTAACTAAAAGTTCTACGAGTATAAAAAATTCAAATCCTGTGCCCAAAAGTTTTCCTGCTTCTAAAAACATTGCTCCTTGCGTCAAAAATTCCATCGTTAAAACCTCGACAAGAAATGACTCGTCGCCCAAGTTTGGGTTGACTGCCATGAACGCTTTCTGGGTGATGCCGCCCCCCGAGCACCGGCCCCACGAGTACCCGCGCCCCATGACCATCATCTACAACGTCGTGCAGGATGCCTTCGTGCCCAAGGAAGCTCTCCTACATATGGTATGACTCATTTCTGTAATTTTTTCTCAAAATATGTTGACTTTTTCCAGTCGATCTTGCGGTTGATGCGTTATTGTTTTATGGATTTTCCAGCCTATCATTGAAATCTCTACATTTTACATAGGGCTGATGAATGTTAATAGCTTCTTCCCTTAGCACTATTTTCGCTCATTTCTTATAATTTCGGTGTGTATTGATATTTTTTGTTTTTAGCATTTGAATTTATGTTACAGCGCGAGTGCGTGAAATTCTACGTCAGGAACGATGACGCCATCAACCTTATGGACACATTTGCAGGCGCCATCACGTACTGGGATAAACTCAAGGTGAGTCACCAGGTCTTGCCTTAAGTGACTTCACAGAGCGGTAATTGCAAACTATTACGTACCTACTTAAATACTATTTGTAGAATATTAAGTTTCGGTTAAAAAAATTGATATATCAATCGCTTCTAATAGTGTTTTTTCGTTCAATATCTATTGAGTAATGAGCATGCCGTGATTTATACAATTCTAAAATTTCTTAGATGTTTCTTATAAATTTTGCAATAATTTAACATTATGCGAGGGCAGATGGCCATCAAGGCACGCGTTCCCAGGGACCACTACTTGCCGCTCATTGAATACCTCCACAAAATTCTTCGAATCACTCTTCCTTTGCCGGAACTTCTGCTTCCTCCTTCCCCCGTCCCCGCGAGGGAGCCCCTCAAGGAAAAGCTTCCCCAGGAACTCATTTCCAACGATGGCTCACTTGGGGGACCTCTAAGCCCTGGCGCCTCTGGTATGGGCAGCATGTCGAGTGCTAGTTTAAATGCCCTTGTGCTGAAGGGCAGAGAGGCTGGCGTAGATATCACCTCAGTTCGAGCCTCGTCCTCGAGTTCACGATCAGCCTTAGCCTCAGCAACGACTCACAGTGACACGAGAGCCAGGCCGTACCCTGACCCTTCCAAAATTCATCCGCTCCTGGTGGATCGATCTGATGAGAGGAGCCTCCAGCCAATGCTGCTGGATCGTAGCTACAAGTCTTCCGTGCTGCATCCTTTAATTTCGGATCAATCGACTAGCAAAGTCGCAGTTCATCAGATCATCTCCGATCAAACCGACTTGAGTAAGCAGGCACCAACTCGGAATTCTTCAAGCCCTGGCATCCCATTGCCTGCCACTCAGAATCCTCCTGACTATCCATTTCCTTTGCTTCGAGAAATGATGGTCGAGCAAGTTTCCAATATGCAAAAACAACAGGAGCAAAGATTTGAAACTGACATGACAATGCCGAAAGATAAACAGCTTCACAAGTCTATGCCAAGACCGGAAGGGAATTTGACTTTGGGTGAAAAAGAATTGCTGATGCAAATAAGTGAAAAGTATCTACAGCAGCAACGACTACAGTTGCAAGAACAACTGCAGTGGCAGCAACAGGACCCCAAAGCCGAAGCTTCTAAATTAAAATCTTCCCCAGCCGAGACGAAGATTCAGAGCGTAGCGAGTCTCTTCCCACAGCTGAGCGCTTCTGTGTCGCTGCGCCCTGAGCCCAATCCTCCTTCTTATTCCGCCTCACAGATCTCGAGGAATGGAGATCAAAGTCGGGGCTCGCCGCCTCCATATCCCTCATTCTCCTCCAAACATCGCGACTTGTCTATTTTCCCGACGCCAACTACCATCAAGAGTGACTCCCAAAAGAAAGATTTTCTGGCTCGATCAACTAATGCGGCAACATCATCTTCTGCAACGATAAGTTTTTCTCATGTTAATCTACTCTCGAGTAACTCCACTGCTTCCGGTAGCAGCGAGAGCAGCGGCGCCCATAAAGTCACCATCACTGCCACCAGTGGAAGCCCTTCCTCGACGCCTTCTGCCTCGGTCTTTTCGAATTCTCCTTCTTTCTCAATCACGGCCGTCAACAGAGACAGCCCAGGTTTCTCTGCACCGCATTTGACACCTCTAAGTTCACCATCCCTTAGCATCGCCCCTCAACCTAACAGTCTTAGCTCGTCCTCCCCCATCAGTTTACCTGGCCTGTCTCCCGTGGGTGCCGCATTGTTCTCCTCCGGCGTCGTGATCCCACCCTCAGCCAGTCCTTCTCCCCTGTCGTCAGGACTCACCCCTACCTTGAGTCCGTCTCCGATTTCGTTCAATCCTCCTCGCAACAACTCTCCCAGTTTGAGCGTCGAAGTGTCGCCGCGTCACACCGAGTGGGCTCAGAACGCCCTGCCTGGCATGGCTCGTCCACCGCTCATCAGCGTCAAGTCGCAGGCTGCGCTCAGTCAGCCGCCTTTCACGCACGTGTCGTCGGTCGCAAGCACGAGTGCCGCCGCCACCGTCGGCGCTGCGTCGGAGCTCCCGTCCTTCACTTCGGACAGTCAAAGAAGCTCATCTTCCGAGAGCGTCCTCACGCCAGCCAATTTTGCCGAGGCCATGTCGTCGGGCACAGTATCTCCGGACCAGTGGATGCAGGCTTCCTTGGCAGGTCGGTTACAATTTATACTCGGCACGCGATGCTGATCGTTTCCATATGTGTTAATTAGTATAAACTTGCTATATTACTTCTAATGATCACTCGTTACATGAATCCATATAGTCTAACCATGTATTAAAGTAATTTTTCGCTCCTCGGTGACCATGGATTCTGCACACATATCGTCAGCTGTTCTGTATATAATTAAAAAACTGTCAAAATCATCATTTTTAGCGCATTTTCTCATTTACGGAAAAAATGCACTTTTGTGCTCGCCATGTCCGTCCGTCCGTCCGTCTGTCTGTCCGTGACCTCAAGTTTTCGTCGACGAGAAAATGCGCTCTCTGTCACTCACTGCAGTGAGTACTGAGTTATATTTTTTCAATCTGTTCAGTGTTTCAATGACGGTAAGTTTCTGACCTTTCATTTTTTTCAGCGGGTTTCTCCCAGTTTGCCGGGTTCGCAGGATTTAACAAATCTTCGGCTCAGTTCAGCGCAGACGCGACGAACGCGCAGCACTTCCCTCCTCCCCAGTACCGCCCACATGGCGGCTCCCTGTCTTTCTTACCTTCCGCCTCCTCTGAACAGCAACACCAGGATCATCGAAAATAAATTCCTCTGTGTTGCGCCCTATCACGTAAGCGTTCATTCTTTGAGAACCGTTTGTTTATTTTATGCAACATTTCATTCTTGAATTATAACCAAATGGTGAAATAATATATTACATACTGCGCTTCAGTAGCAAAAACATGAGAAATTAAGTTGCAAGTTCAGATTTCACAATTCGCTCTTTTTAATTTTTTTTACTGCACATTCCCGATTTCGTATTGTCAAGTTAGACATCCTTTCACTTTCAAATGTGTATAATTTACTATTCAGTACCTAATTAGTCTAATTGTACGTCTCATAGTCGTTCTTTCGCCACACTTTTTCTCCGGTTAACTGACCATATACGAATGATTGCTTGGAGTCTAAGCCCAAAATGGCTCGATTCGTTTCTCGGTTTGAAGCAAAGTTATCATGCCTTTCCTCTATAATAACTTTAATATGTCTATCAATGCAAACATCTATCACCCTTAACACCTACGCAAGTTAGGTGAAGAGCGTATGCGAATTCGGTGGCCAAGACACGACAAGTTACGGTCATCCTAATTTTTTATATCATAAAAGGACCGATACCTCCTACGAATTGAACTTGATAACGCAGTGGAAAATTTGCTTCGTACTTGAATATTATAATTGAAAATATTTTCATCACAGTACCAAGTACAATAGTGCATAGAAAAATTTCATCATCATTAACGTAATACCAATTTTATTTGTTTTATTTTTTGGAATAAGAGACGTTGAAATTTGAAACTCTGATATCGCTTTATTTTCCTGTGTTGCATGTGTTATCAGGGAGATAATATACATGAAATTTTGCCAAATTTTCAAATTGAAGCTGCAGCGGCCCCATAATTTTTTGGGGTAATTACAAAAACGTGTGCGATTTTTATGTGCTGACTACATTCTGGTCATGTCATGTGCAGTCGGATCTTGTAGACTTAAGGATCTTGGATGTTGTGATGAATGTTATCGTTTATAAGAGCCACTTATCGCGATATCGTCAAACGCGGAGGTTGTTTATTTCATTGCCACTACATTCCTCGTAAGTTCTTAAAATTAAAATAATATATTATTTCATAAACTTTTTCGTTCGATTAACGTTTCTCACCATTAGCTCGCGATTATCTCCTATCGTCGTCAAGTATAAGTGATTATTATTGTTTTGAAGAAAACTTTTTTCAACAGGAATTCTCTAATAAATAATACAAAGTCTGGGATAGGAGTGAAATTATTAAACAAGAGCAACGAGTTGTAAAACATTTTCTTTCTCGCTACAATAAAATACCTACTCATCGTAATCCTACAACGGATCATACTTGATTTCAATTTGAAACTATCATTACTTGAAACTATCCATATTTCATTGTCATCTTCTCGTTGCGTAGTCTGATATAAACTAGTTTTGGTACTCATCTTAACGACTCCTTATCGTAGAGTCGTGCACTGCGCCTGTATGTATATCGTACTCTTAAAATTTTCTGTTTTTCATCCCTCAACTGAGTCCGTCGTACCGGTGACAGGGCATTGAGTTGGGCGACAGCTGGGATAGACTTCACCCTATAAGTCAAGATCCGTAATTCTAATAACTACTAACTTGCGGATAACGAGAAGCAAAAATAGTGAAAACAATCACTTTCAAATCGCTAGAATGCTATATAAAAAGTAAAACTGAATAACAGCGGGAAATATTTCATAATTATAGCATTAAAAACGCACAGTTCCGACGGCCGCGTGAACACGAACGGTATATTTCCAAGAAACCGTTTTAATGCTTCAGACCGTCTCGTGTAATTCGCATCTTTTCACGTGTGCGGTTTCGGATTAACCGTGACGTTATTATCGATTGCGTGATGCAGAAATGATTGATCTCAGCCTGGAGACGATGGTTTAATGATAATAATAAAGAATGAAACCAGTCCTGTAAGTGGATAAGTGGAAATTTAACTACAGCATCTCTGTCAGCTGACAAAGGTACTAGGAAATAGGACTGAGTTAAGAAAAATGTTTCACTTTACTTTTTCTCATTCCACCCGAAATAGAAAATTCCCGGTTGCATCCTGAGTTAATTTAAACAAGAGTGATAAGAACAAGTCAGAAGAAGCAAGCGTGAGAAGATAATACAAGATAAGATGATGAATCGAAAATAAAAGATAGTACAAGAATCTGCCATTGAACCGAAGGACTTCCGCCACCAAACGAGTAACTTCTCCATGAGGAACTGCCGGTCCAAGAAGCAAGAACTTTGGAGCAGCTATATTTGTAGGCAAAAACCAAAAGAAAGCCATATTCATCGTTAACAAATGAAGGAGAAAATACCTTAGGCTGAACATGGAAGAATATAGGCAACAAGCCTTGCAGACGGCCGGTGCTTACGAGAGCGACGCTATATTGTCGAGAAGTGATTTTCCTTCTTCTCAGCACAACCAGGTTGGGAGAAAGAATCGTAGGCAGGTGACCCCGCTAGCTGGTATATAGTGACACGAACATTGGGAACATTAATAACAATATTCCAAAATGCAGATACAATCGTACACGAAAATGAACCATGGCCGAGGTACAAGGTACGCCCGAGGCGATGAGCCCGTACAGACAAGTACGGGCTCTTCCTTTCATAAAATACTACCTAGAAGTAATGGCTCGACTCAAATTTGGACATGTCGTCATGTTTGCAATTATCTTGACCACGGAACATTCGTTGGGAAAATTAAATAAAATTTCGAAGAGAAAGCTTATTAATGCAGTTGAAGCAAAATTTTATCAATAATAATGTTAGTATTTCAAGACCTCTTCGCATAGGATATATACTAGGACAGCCTAACCCCGGAACTAGAATGGCCCTTGGTATTATCAGATGTAGGAAATAGCAGAAAGTCAAGCATTAAAAGTTTGTACTCGAAGAATTCACAGTACGAAGGCAGTAACAAACGATCTAAAATCCAATGTGATTATGCGAACCAAGATCGCGTCCATGACGCGTACGTAGGAACTGTAGCCTTCTAATGGCATCTTAAATTAGCTTCGCTTAACCATAATTATACAATATTTCTTTGATGACGCATATATTCTACCTAAAACATTGATCGTGGTCCATTACTCAAAGTAAAGTTCACATTCCTCAACATTACGAACACATAAAATACACGGACGAGTTAAACTCAATCCGATAGCAACAAAAAAGTGAAAGGTTTCAAAGTAATGCGCACCAAAACATAAGATTGGCCTGCACATTTGTACAGGTCAAGAATATGGCTGCAAAGTCAACCAACAACAAAAGCTCAGAATGAAGTCACTAACGCGACTTCTTAAGAATAAGTTTCTATAGTGGGAAGGATTTCATAGATTTCTGTGTTTTTTACACACGGCGCACCTTAGACTAATAGAAACTCGAAACTATAGTATAAAAACTAGAGAATTTGATATGCAAGTGACTACTGAAATAATCAGTATAACGAAGCAACTAAAAGTACTGAATTGGAAAAACGATGTTCTAAGCGAGGAAACTACAGAGTTTTCACCTGTCCTAGCTTTAATGAAGTAAATCCTTGCAGGATTTAAGAATGTGAACTAGTGTCGCATCAACCGTAACTTCAACATCAATATTCCATACATAAACTTCATTCACATTCATGAGACTTCACGAAAAAGTGCTGAATTACTTTAGTTTGTTCACAGGAATATATCACCCAAGTGCGATTGTTAGGCAAGTGCTAAGTGTTAGGTAACAACTAATTCATCGTGTCTCATGTCGAGGTAAGACAATCGTCCGCGTTAGAGTTTAGGGTGAGGCGAGTCGAGCTTTTCAGGAACTTCTGACTGTAGCTGCCTCTCAGAGGGTTGTTGCAACTCACACTCCAGTTGGTCATGAGAGGAATTTTTTTCATCAGACGACAGCTCCGATTGCGCTGCTAAAAGCAACCCAGTAGGAGGTACGTACGTGGTGGGATTGATGCTGGTTCTTGGAACCGAGGACACAACGGCGGGCGAAACTTTCTCGTGGCAGTTGGTTACAACATAATGGCAGTGGCAAGGCGTTATGGGATTATGACTGGACTTGCCGCACTTTTTGCATTCCTCCACGCGAGGCTTTGATGCTTCCTTCACCTTCTGCACATTCACAATTGAGTTTACTTAGAATCTTTAGTGCATGAACAGTAGTAGGACTGAAACTGCGACCAAACTTACTGGGACTGGAGCGATTTATTTGCAAACGGCAAAACGGCGGAAAAGTGTTGGTGCAGTCAAAATTACTAAAAAGACTGGGTATTGCTTACTCGAGTAATAAAATATAATTTTATTTTTAACTCGTCCGCCGTGCTCAAACAAGATTTTGGGCTGTATATACTTGGTCTAGTATAGTGACATGATACAGAAAATTTGTCGTTATTGTAGGTGTCACATATGCAATGTATAAATCCAATGTATATCACGTATAAATGTAGGTAAATCCAATCGTGCACGTTCAATTCGAATTCACGACCACCCAACACAGGGATTTCCAAACAGAGCTGCTTTAATCATTATGGTAGAATGTCAACCATCAATAGAAAATTGTAATTTAAGGAATGTATTCATGTAGGCCAGGAAAGATATATATTAGAAAGAAGACGCTCAAGATTTTGTTCACAAGAACGAGATTTAATTTTTTCAAAGTTTTACTCGAGAACATAGTAACTTGCTTCAAGGGGTCCATGAAGGTCATGTTAACATATGCTAGCAGTGAATAACCGCGAAAGTTTAGGAACCTCTTGGCTCATTGCAATCAGACGTTCTAATCCTGATTTAGTTTACCTGCCATAAGGTATCACCAGGAGCCCTGTAGACCATGATGACGGCGCACAGGGGGATGGGTATGATGGAGAGACTGGCGATGAACCAGCCCAAGGCAATGGCCCACGTTGGGTATGGCAACGCTTTCGAAGGGTCTTCACCTTTCAAGGTCTGGCCGTAAGTCAGATTCTTGTGATCCATCCACGACATCACCGTGATGATCTGAATGTTGAAGTACATTGATGACTAGAATTTTGTGTGTGAATGACACTACTAGCCTTTGGGAGAGGAAAAGTATCACTAAACAGTTCACTAGTGATAAGATTACATGCATGAAGCCAGTAACAAGCAAATTTCTTTGAGAAATTCTCTTTAATTAGACATGTACATGAGGGAATAAAAATGTGCAAAATGTAGGGAGTACTTTGAGTACTTAAACCCTCTGTTTTTTATATTTCTGAACTAATTTCCGCAACTCACTAGGATGAGTGAAGGCGAAAGGTAGCGCCAGCAATACTTGAAGTAAAGCGACGGTATTTTGCCCGTCATCTCGCGCAGGTTACGCGACAGCCGTTCGGCACCGTAGCACCAAACCACGGCCACCACCTCGAAGAACGCCAAGTACATCAAGCTGATGGCGGACGAGTAGTAGTCCACCAGGTGGAAGTAGTAAATGCCACCCTGCAACCAAGACAATAGTCTTTACTTGCATATTCAGGAAATGATATCAACCGTTTATTAATGTAATTAATACCTATGATGTTGGTCTTGAACTTCTCGACCGATTATCAAACCCCAAGATATCGTCTCAGAAAAAAATGGTGCAGTAGCCTATTAAAAGAATTAGACGAATTCTCTGCAAAAATTGATAGATTAGCTGGCTGCAACCGAACTGGAATTATTCAAGTGAGGATGACTAAATATGTATAGGACGTCTCGAATAAGGATATGACCACTCTTGAGGATTGATTAGGGAAAATGTGAACCTCGAACAAGTTGGGCAGGCCGAGCGTAAAGCAGAAAAGGCAGACGAGGAAGGCCAAAATTTCATGACGACGAAGCTTTTTTTTTATCCACGTCGGAAAGGCGTCCTGCAGCGACGTTACTATCACCTGCACGACACAGCCATGTTTCATAAAATCATTAGGTGCTAGTTTCAATTATGAACGGACTTAGTGGACACCATAAATAAGCTTTTTTTAATTTGGGATTCTTCTGTCTAACTTAACCATTCGTGCGGATATGATTCAGAGTCGATGCAAACAATTAATTTTAAATAACAGCATTAAAATAAAATATGCAGCACGCCATGACCGACTTCGACGGTGGCGAACTGCGAGTCGATGCCAAGGATGATGAGCAGCAGGAAGAACAGGACGGCGAAGAAGTGAGGGTACGGCATCTTGGCGAGGGCTTGAGGGTACGCCACGAACGCCAGACCTGGACCTGTCGACATCTCTGTATCAGCCATCATGTTTAACTATATAACCTTCACGTCACCATTTTTAAGTCAGCCATCATGTTTAACATTATAAGAATGGCCCACTACGTAGTTGTAGTACAGAGTAAGTACCAAGATTGGGGGCAGTGAGCTATGGGTTCGCGACCGTTCTGGTCAAAATCGACCGTATGAGCTGCGACCGTTCTGCTCAAAATCGGTGAGGTGGTCGGTCTGCTAAGCACAACAAAATTGGACCAGTGAGTTGCATGTTCGAGAACACAACAAGCAACAAAAATTCTACGATGTTATCAATCGGCGGCAGGTCTCATGGTCTAATCAACGCTGACACCGCTATTACATTACGTTATAGCTTTCAGTCGCGATTTAAACATTGGCCATCATTGTCATTTGAATCAAGTATTAGCAATACCAATCATCTTCAATGATTATGCATGTCGAGGTAAGATCGTCAAAACAACGAGTAATTATTGATTTTTCGTGATGTTTTACACCTTGTGTGATGATGTCGGTGATGCTGCAGTCAAGCTCGTACGCAATGTTGCCCATGGTGCTGAAGACGATGATGCCAGCCAATAAAGACGTGCCAGCGTTGACGAGCGCAATGATCCACACGTCGGTAAGCAAGTTATTGCTGAACTTGTTGTACGACGAGAACGTGATCATCGAGCCAAAGCCAATGCCGATGCTATTGAAGTTCTGGGCGGCTGCGTACACCCACACCTGAGAACACGCGCGACAGTCTGGGTTATTGTGGGCATTTCATGGGAATATAGTCTTCAAATTCATTCATTTTACGTATCAGTAGAATTTGGTATCAGTAGAATACCTTAGCCTACAGAAAATATTTTAAAATTTAACTACTTTAAGCAAATACTTTAGAATTCAACAGATTCGGTCGTTCAATGGATGCAGAAAGATTATAAATCTAACTAATAAACTGCAGAAATCAGTGCAAAATATGACTTCACACTGAACGTCTGATTGGCTATTGCAGGAACACACGCCACGTTAGAAGTCATCACACCACACATCACGGGTTTGCACAATCTGCATCATATCAGGAGATGATCTACACTCATCGCATACTTTTACATCAAATCAATCTATTACTGCAGATATTATCACCACATCGTCGCACATAGATTCATGGTAGTATCACAGGACGTTTGCCGCACTTTTCAGTGTAGTCAGAATGTTCGAGCACTACGGCTAAACGCCGGTAACTATCTCGTTAAAAACATCGATATAAATAAAGTTCGAGTCGCTGGTGATTTGTTGCACTTGGTTGTTCATTAAAACTTATGTTTACACGGATAAATGGCAGATTTTATTGACAAAGAACAGCTTAAAGGGAACCTCGTTTGAAACACTAGAACCAGCGAAACAGACCATTAATGTTCAATCAAGAGCTTCGTAAATCTTTCAGAGCACAACCACGATTCTAACGTTACAGCACGTCTGCATATGATCGCTGAGAGTTGGTAGAGCGGGAAGAGCTTAGGTAAGAACCTCACTGTTGGGCTGGCGGTGCACGACTGACTACCTTACTCGCAGCCGCTCAGAACTCCGCCTATACTTTCAAAAAAGTTAGAGATCGTAAGCTCATCAGCCAATCATTGACGGCCTTTCAAGCAAAATCCACCAATCAGAGACAAGAAAATAGAGCGTAAGTACTTACGTTCACTAAGCGAGTTTTGAAAGTACGGCCCCTGATCTCGTACTACGTCGCCACACTGGGAATCGGATATTATTGTTACTCAGGCGAATCCGCCAGACGTACCTGTACAATTACACTCTCGGCATACACGTAAACCAATGCACATGAAATGGATACTAGAATACTGGTATTAAATTGCTAGTTATAGCAAAGAATCACCATCGTTCACAGTAGGTAAAGGTCCCATGTTTCTCATTTTACCGCTCAATTCTCTCTTATTATCCCCTCAGCGGACATGCTACGAAAACAAAAATTAACATCGTCAGTACATTCATACCCATCACCACTCACTCCCATCATTACATCACACACACCATTGAACTCTCATCAAAACCAATTCATACGCATCACCTACACATTACTACAACCAGTACTACATCCTTAAAGCAATCAACATCCTACAATCACTACATCGCCGGCATCATCCATCTCCTCACACTTTTTCCCATACATATTTTCCCTTACACTGCCCCTATCCTCACATCAACCTTTCCCTCTCACCAACCATTCACTCACTATCTCTCCCGTGACACCACCACAACACCACCACAACACCACCACCGCCTACACAACCACCGCCTACACCACCGCCACCACCACCACCATCACCTGGACGTCGAGCAGCCTGCTCCATTCAGGCTGGAACAAATACTTGAGTCCGACCCCCGCCCCTTCCAGCGTGACGGCGCGCACCAGGAACACCAGGATGAAGACGTACGGCAGCGTCGCCGTCACCAGCACCACCTGCGCCACACATTCACAGCTCAGGGGGGGTGGGAATAGGGGAACGTTTGGCTCCTGACCGTGTTGGTCAAGAGGAAGTGGGAAGCGTATGACGCATGACCGTGTTGGTCAAGAGGAAGTGGGAAGTGTATGACGCATGACCGCGTTGGTCAAGGGAAAGTTGGAAGCGTATGACGCATGACTGTGTTGGTCAAGGGGAAGTGGGAAGTGTATGACGCATGACCGTGTTGGTCAAGGGAAAGTTGGAAGCGTATGACGCATGACCGTGTTGGTCAAGGGGAAGTGGGAAGTGTATGACGCATGACCGCGTTGGTCAAGGGATTGACGCATGACCGCGTTGGTCAAGGGCAAGTGAGAAGCGTATGACGCATGACCGCGTTAGTCAAGGGGAAGTGGGAAGTGTATGACGCATGACCGTGTTGGTCAAGGGCAAGTGAGAAGCGTATGACGCATGACCGCGTTAGTCAAGGGGAAGTGGGAAGTGTATGACGCATGACCGTGTTGGTCAAGGGAAAGTTGGAAGTGTAAGACGCATGACCGCGTTGGTCACTGGGAAGAGCCTGTCACTGAGCGATTAAAATGTTCAACATGCAATTGAACACTGAGCAGGGCTGACGTTTAGCAAGTCAGTGAACGTAACATTTGGTGTTGCAAACGTTTGGGGCGCCAATTAGCAACACACACGTTTAACATATCCGTGAACGACGCAAACATTCATCCAACTAACTGACAAAGCGAAAGTTCAAGCCGCCGTTGGACAACCCCAACGTTGGCTCACCAGTGAGAAAAGGAAACACTTAGCGTGCTACGGTTCAATCAAACGTATAATATTGTGTGCATACACCAACATAGAATGTATATGTCCAGATAGTGAAATATAATGTAAGTCAAAACAACATAACAACGGTAAAGTGGCATCCTTAATATTGATGCTAGAATTCGAAACAATTATATTGCTTTGAAGCAAAAACAGTATAATTTTTTACTGTGTTACCACGTGAGATGCCAGCAGACGTGCTCACCAGGCCAGACGAGCGGATGGACTTCCAGATGGAGAAGTAGACGATGACCCAAGCGACGATGACGCAGCCAAGCAAGGGCCACACCATCCCGCCGTAGTCATCGATGCTGTCCGACTTCTGCAGCACCACCGCACTGCAACACACGTCGATACGTTATTAAGTGAAACCGACACCAACGTTGATCGGCACTATTCAGTAGCGAAGTTTATAAAAAAAAAAGCTTGCGGGTAGTAAAAACAATTTCCGAGGACAAATTTGAGTTATGTTTCTAACATCATTCATCGGAATTTCCTTAAAAAAAGTTAACATACAGGCTTTCAAATTCCTATCGTAGCCCTTAAATTATGTGATTTAAAAAAATCAAAACTAGCATGGAAATTGAATGAAGGCGTACGGCAGCGTCGCCGTTATGGCGACTGAATTGCCACAAAGTCAATGTAAAAAATTTGAATAATTAAAAAATTTGAGATTGGTAGAACCAAACTTAAGTTAAAGTCGTCAGACAGCAGCTAAAACTTTCAAAAATATAACAAGGAATGCACGACTTGACCTGAGGCCGTACTATCAAAACTCGCACAAGTACACGTAGCGGCTGATGTCTCGTCTGTGATTTAGCATGAAAATATGTCAGTAATTAGCTGACTGAGTAACTATTTCTGAAGGTAAGGCCCCACTTAACTAATATTTATAACTAATGAACGAGTTTTAACTGGCCAGGACTCAAGACACTGACTCGAAGTAGCGCTGCGTCGAAGAGTTAGCGGTGCAGTTGCTGGGCGTCTCTATGAGACCTTGGGTCGCCCATGGCAAGGCCGAGCGGAATGACTGCGTGAGGTAGTAGATGCTCCACGAGATAATTATGTTATAATAACTGCAGAATATAATGCAAATAATCACCACTCCAATAGCCGAACCTGTGGACATACAAAATAGAAGACATTAAATGTAGACTAGAATATCGTCAGCCTCCCACCGGAGGCAAAAAGTAAACTAATAAATTTTCATTTATTATTCATATAATTAATTCAAACTATTTTCTTTACAGTGAACATAAACAATGGTTACTGGATCATACCGCAATTTAATCGCGAAAAACCTATATTAACTTTCTTAACATGAACTCTAGTACTAAATGTAATTCAAACGCGCCGGTTGCGTCGCCCCTACGATGAAACTCGACCTAATCGACAAAAAAGAGCGGCAATTTCATCCAATTCAACAAGAAAAATTAGGTAAAAGTTAAGTTAACTGTTTTGATTCAGTTAAGCGCACTGTAATAAACGACAAAATCAATTGACTTACTCATTACAATGTTATTCCTGCCTGGATCCCAAATAAATACAACTGTCATGATTCGAAAAGTGGAATTAAGATCGGTCCCCAGTAGTCTTGCATTATTTTAGCTCACATCATGAGCATAGCCTACCATAAACGCTGGCAAGAGCTTGCCAGGAACTCCAGGAATTCATTTATTTCACAATAGGAATGAGAATTATTGAGCATCAATTCAGTCGGTGAAGGATTAGGTTTCCGGCCAGAATTTGTTGAAACTCAATTTGATTCTCACACAACTCGAGAAATAACATTTACTTCATAATGACCTAAAATTTGCTTTCATTTTTTTCACTATTGTCAAATCATCGGCGAAAATACACCGATGACTTACCTAGAAGTTTAAAGTTCAAAGTCAAAAGTCACAGGAATATACAAATGGTTTAACACAGGATTCGATGCGCAATCAATAACTAGACCATTTTACTCGATGCGTTATTAATAGCCTGACTGTCAAACTTGATGCGTAATCGATAACTCTACCACCAAAGATGATGCGTAATCTATTACTTGTCCGCCCCAATTCGATGCGTAAGCAATAACTAATGATCAGTCTCGGTGATCGTAAACGTGGATAAATATGATACGTATGATGGATCGTCAACCCTGGGCACACCAACGGCCGGCGGCACCTCTTGGCTCAATAGATCGATCAGGGCTGGAAGAAGTGGCTTAGCTGTGATAGATATCGCGCCGTGTAAAGGTTGGGTACGAATGCAGGTGACGGACGGTTTACATACTTGACTAGAATGTAATATTTGGGGCATACGAGGTCTTCGTTCTAACATCTACAACTCGATTGCTAGCCGACCGAATGCTACCTGGAATTGAACGAATCTTGATACGTGATCAAAATTAGATGAACATCCTTATCATAAAAAGAACAGTTTGCAGTCTGTTTATGGATAGCTCACAATGACCAACCAGAGCCTGGATAATAACAACCCACCGAATAAGAACTCCTCACCAAATTCACGAACGTAATAGGCCCACCCAGTTTTTCTAAATTATAAAATTAATAGCGTTGTCACAGAAAGAGGTATACCATTCGCAAATAAACCCCCTAGCCACCGGCGTGGCAGGCTACAATCCAGCCCCGAGGTAACGTCTCACCAATAAAGATGGGGCAGAGGCTGAGCAGAGCACCAACGGGGCCCCGCCGCGTGTACTGCCCGATGGCCATCTCCATGAGCAGCAGCGGGATGCCGCACACGAACAACATCAAGAAGTACGGGATGAGGAACGCACCTGCAAGCAACCCGCGGGTCGCGGCTACGTTAGTAATGTGCGGGTACAATGCGTCTCGGTTAGGCATGGTTAAATGTTAGTTACTATATCGGCACAGGTAAATTAATAGTAAGGTACTGGTAAACACTTTTCGATGGACAGGATACGGTTATTCACGACCTTGACCAAGTCAAATAATTAGCAGAATAATGTTAAGCTGCTGTGTAAACCTAATTCTCCCCTAAAGTTGTTTACGTCTTCGAATATGGTCATACTGATGCACCGCCTTCGGCGCTCACCGTCCCACAGCCTTTGACAGACAAATCTTCCCTGAGCGCTCACCTCCGCCACTCTTGTAGCACAGATACGGGCAGCGCTCACCTCCGCCACTCTTGTAGCACAGATACGGGCAGCGCTAACCTCCGCCACTCTTGTAGCACAGATACGGACAGCGCTCACCTCCGCCACTCTTGTAGCTCAGATACGGGCAGCGCTCACCTCCGCCACTCTTGTAGCACAGATACGGGCAGCGCTCACCTCCGCCACTCTTGTAGCACAGATACGGGCAGCGCTCACCTCCGCCACTCTTGTAGCACAGATACGGGAAGCGCCAGAAGTTGCCGAGGCCGACGCAGCTGCCGATGCAAGCGAGCACGAACTTCAGTTTGCTGTCCCACGTCGCTCTGCCGTCGTCAACCCCGTCCTCTGCCCCATCGTCATCATCGTCCTCTGGCACGGAGAGAAAATTTACCAACACGTAAGAAACGGTGGTATTATAGCATTGTACAATGTACAGTGGTATAATAGCATTGTACAATGTACGGTGGACCTTGTTAACTATAGCTCGTGCTACTGTAGTGCAGTGGTTATCACCACCGTTTGCGCAGTGGTAGCGACACCAAGATGAGAGGAGCTAGCCTTGGGCTCGTGCCTTGTGAAGCTCAGTTCCTTTCTCGGTGCCGCCGGTCGACAACGCTTGGCCGTCGTCAAGGACGGTGCTTGCAGCATGGCTTTAGGTTAGTTTCACTAAACGAACTTTGGGTACGTGTTAGCTAGGGAATCCTAAGGTCTTAAGTAGCAACCAGTTGACTGGGTTACTATCTCGATTGTTGGGATTACTAATCCTGTGGACAAAAAGACTCAAGACTTTAGAAGGTGGACAAGGTTCCTTGTAATGGATATGTGAATGGATCCTAATATCAGGTAAAAAAAAGGTTATACACTGCGTTCGACATTTTTTCATGACTCAACACAGAGTAGGATTTAATGAACTGCGTTTAATGCATTTGTCTTGCATTTGGCGCCGCTTTGAATCTTGTCGTTTCCGTTCTACTAAATCCACGGTTTTAATTCCCAAATTATACCAGGAAGGAGTCTCACCTATTGGGTTTATGTCGAGGGTGGCGGTGATCTTAGTGAAGGCGATGCCGTCCGCCACAACCCCGTCATCGCTGACCACCGTCAGTTGGTGGCCATCAGGCCCATCGTCTTCTGGTATCCTGCAACACGGCAGGGCATGAGCGACACGGCATGCCGTGGGCGACAGGTTAGAGGCATGGCATGAGCGGCAGGTATTGCGGCATGAATGAAACATGATGACATGAACGGCAGAGGTTGCGCCAGAGGTTGCGGCATGAGTTTCAAATTGTCATGGGCAGTCGCCGATGAATCTCTGACATTCTGAGCCTGAACATCAGTCTTCATAATAGTTGTGATATTGAGGTAACTCAACGGCTGGGTCAATTACACGGGGTGTTGGCGCTCGCATTGCTTTGTGGCCACACAAAGAGCCGTTCCATTCAGATGAAATCAATGACTATATATACACGCTACCATCATTCTGTGAGGGTGAATAAAGCTTCATAAATGTTTGGCTGGCGTTCAGTTTATCTTCAGTATTGACGAGCGTACACCAGATAAATATAAATGAAAAATAGAGATAGAGATTTGCATCATTTCAAATCCTATTCGTCAATAATTTGAATTGCCCGATTAAAACTACTAGAAAAAGCGATACCAGTTGGACGAACTGACATCACCCAATGATGGGAAAGCCGTGGATTATTGTAGAATTTAAAACAGTTAAAATCAACATAGACGGCAGAACATAAGAACTGCAGATTTGTTGTAATAACACGCTCTGTAAATCATTGCAAGATAAAGCAAAACATAATTTCTTCTAACCCAGTAATGGGGCACTGCCATGCTGTTTATTACACGTCACTGACAGTCAGCATATACGCCAGTTAAAAATGCATACAAGAATGTTATACGGTTAGTGGCATTAAAAAAGTAGATTTTCTCGTCCCTCAGACAACAGATAGAATAATAACGCGAAAATTTACACCACAAAACCTGACAAAGCCATTCGATCAATGCCGTGCAAGATGAGGCTAAATGCTGCAATACATTTCAAAGATTACGTAACTTTGTCTACGATAAAAATTTTGGGTTACATGTAAAAACTTGAATGGTCTAGTTAAAAAAAATAAAAGAAACAGGCTGACGATAGCGACAGTCATGTTCATAGTTCGCTCCCATGATCCGCTCCAGCTTGGTCTACGACTGCTATACGTATAGCGTGGCTTGTAGCGTCCAGCGTGGCCTGGGACTGCTACGTCCGAAACAAATACTACTAAGAATACTAATTCTGTGAATACCTCACACGAACCTGGTGAACTCGTCCCGGGGGTGGCGGCAGAGCTTCATTTCACCCTTCGCGGCAACACGACTTAATGATGTCATGGTTGATGGTTAAGCAGTGCGTAGAAAATTTAGCTTGGATTTATTTTGGGGGAAATGTGTTATGCATGCATTTTGGCAAAGGATAGCAGGATGATGCAATTGATGGAGTTGTCGCTGAATGAGTTGATATCAATGACCAGCAGGTGGAATGAAGTCGCGCTAGCAGAGACCAGCCAAGGAATGTCAGAACACAAAGGCTGGGAGGTAGACGGCGTAAACTAATCAATACTAACTTTTTCAGCCCCAAAAACTATAGAATGTCGTAAAAAATTAGTTTGCACGCTTGAAAGTGTACATATCATATGTATAAAAAACTACAAAAATATAGCTATGATCTAATATTTTGTTTAATGTATTTAAAGGTAGGACGTAGGAGAAGATATCGAGGCTGTTATATAAAGTTTTACTTTAATCACAATAAACTGTAGTTATCAGAAAACTTCGATGCACGTGCGCCGCCTCTTTCGTAGTATTCGAAAGCCGTGGTGCTGAACGAGTTCTTAGTCGCCATGAAGGTACCAAGTTGTTCACCAACGATGGGGAGCAGGCAAGGGAGGAATTGAGGGAAGTGAAAAGGTCTTGGGGAGTAAGAAGAAGAAGAACAAATCTTGAAATTAATAAATTAAATTAATTGAAGGCGAGGGATCTATATAGAATCTCTCGTTTTTGAGAGTGAAGGTACAGCAGCTGCAATACTGCAAGTTATCACGACACAGCTCCGGGTGGTGGCTAAAAAATTCGCTCCTGTGACTAGGTAATTTAGTTTCTCTGGATGTGGGGAGTTCACTTTTCAAGTTGCGTTTATAATAACAAAAAAATCTTGGATGAATGAGAATAATTTTGCGATTGATTACACGACAAAAACTCGTACAGTCTCAGAGACAGCACGTTTCCGTGACGTGTCAGCAAATTTCAACAGATTACGACAATGAATTGCGTTCACATCTGAAAAACTGCAATCGCTTTCAGAATAAAATTTAGCAGATTCGCATAAAGATAGCAATATAATTGAACTAACTGTTCTAACATAATCTTGTTTCTTATACACAACTATCACTTACATTTACGATGTCAGTAGAGGAATATTCTTCCATGCATCATGCATGATTAATTCCCTATTCTTTACCTTTCTTCTAATATTTTAATCATACTTAATCAAAACGGAATAAAACATTTAGGTAACTATAAGTATTACTTTAAGACATGGGTCGGTCAGTCGGTGGAAAGATTTATATTAAAATTCTTTTCGTAAATGTACAGTAAAATTTACCACATACCAGACATTTGCAAAGCTCTATCCTCTATGTATAAGGTGCTCAACCTAATTCTTAGTTCACGGGAAAACTCAAATCTACGAAAAAGTCACCGCGAGATTCAGGTTTGCAATCAACCAATCATCAAATTGTCGAAAAAATGAGATCAGAAACGTAACTTCGTAAGGATTGTTTAACAATTCAACGAGGACAAAAACGTTTTTTAGAAGAATCAGCAGTTTTTAAATTTTTAGCCGCGTCATATGTGTTCCGGTAACCGGCGGGTGATTTGAAAAAATGTCCCGTTCAGCTAATATTGCATGATCCTGTGGCAAGTGATGCTAGGAAGCAAGGAAGGTAGCCCTAGTGTACTACGGTAGATGATGAGATATACGGTGCGACGGGTGCGTCATATGCAGTTATCAACAATCAACATCGCATGACAGAAAGTTAGTCGAGTAACAACCTATGGAGCCTATCAACGCAAACAAATTCCATATTGAATTAATTTATAACGTTAGAAATCATCACTCAAGTAGTTAGGTTCGATACATTGTTCAAGATTGTTACGTAACTTGATTCTTTTACATACAAAATCAAAAGGTAAACGGCGCATCTATATACACTCCTTTGATAACACAGAAATGGAATTGTCTTCTAAAAACAGTGATATAAATAAATCCAGCTGAGAATAGCTCTTAGCCTCATGTCCTTAGCACACTGCGTTAGCTTGCTTCAGTTCTGCGGTGCCGGTCGATTTGAGAAACGTCGACTACATCACCACACCAAAGCACTTGGAACACTAACGTCAAATGAGAGGCTTCGTTGAGGCTCCTCGCCTGTAGGTGAGGGAGGCGAGAGATGCCACTAACTGCCATACGTTAATTTTCTTAGCAGAACAGGAATTTTTGCTGTACAAATAATTAACTATCGATGAGTCTGAAACGAATCATAAACCAAGTTGTGATTGTCAACGGAAATCTCTTCAAGTTAGATTCATCTCGAAGAAAAGTAAGTTATTGAAGTTAAACAGAAAGCTGAATGTTTACGATTCATCACTAAAATAGCCGGATGGAAACATTTCATCAAACCATCATCTTAATAAACAGATGAGGTCTCCTCTTACTCAAAGATACATTTTCCCTAAAAAATCTTGCACGCTATTCTAGAAATTTTTTGCAAATTATTTGTTTGGTTTTAAAAAAGACACGCTGCAAATTCCACGTGACTTTCGTTTCTTGAACACATCTGAATGGATGAGTAAAAGCAAAAAAGTAAATTTGAGAACGAATCAGATTAACGTATTTTCTAACTTAATTAAGGAAAGTGGTACCTTGATGTTTAAAGTTCTGGCAAAAGAAATTAATTTACAATCATTATGAATTGTAAATAAATAATATTGCAATCGACATTAAAAACCGAACTCATAGTACAAACTTCTAACAGAAACTGATTTTTAAGGGTAACATCGATATAAACAAAAATAAATACAAATTCCATATTCAGATTTAGTTTTGTTCCTAACAAGAAATATTTTTAATTCAACGAGACTGCCTGCACCGAAAGATATCTGGGAATGTTTAGGCATAGAAAGTGTTTTCCGCTGTTGTTATAGCTATGCATTGGCTCGATGCAAACTCCTGTAATTTTTTTTTTCTATACAGTTACGTACATAATACGTATCTGCGTCAGTTTAATGGAAAACGAAAGGAAAATTGTTCATTAGAACGTCCTCTCCTGCATATATATAGTGATACTAGTTGTAAGTCCAAATAAATTTAAAGTTGCTGTAGCAGCTGTATGCACGCCTCAACCATGGTTGAACTATATTTTAGTTCAACCATGCGCCTCTAGCTACGTGATGGCTTCACCACATGGCTGAGAAGCTGGCCCATGGGAATAGACCTTGCACGAGCTCGAATAATGAATATCTTGAATGTTTTCTGGTCTTAAACAGTGTCCATATATTTTGATATGAATGCGTAGGACCTTTCGCTTCTCCTTAGACAGGGAAAAAAATTGCCAAAAATGCTTACGCTATAATGTATTAATATTATTAAAGTCAACTGATGATTATAATGCACCAGAATGTATAAATATTATAATTAACTGATGGGAGTGCAATTAGATAGAGCAGCGACACGATGAGTTGCGCTCCAAATAAAGTTCTTTAATGTATTGATGGATAAAAATGTCGAATTATTTTCTCCATTTGATAATAAAATGTAATAATGTTTCTCCGAGTCGTCGACAACAGCAAATTAAAGGAGCTTACACACCCCCAAATTTTTCATGCACGAAATGAAACACTACATCATACATGCGTGAATAGAAAACGCAATAGGAACATTTTGCGCGGGTTAGTATTCTTCACTCACAAGAACAGAAGTTAATAACAAAAACCGTGAGAGTAAATGGGTCGAAAAGAAGAAAGTCAAAAGGGAGTTGAATTTTAAAAGATGATTTGAAGCGAGTTATGACAGACTGACAGTTTACTCACA